GAGTTGGCCGTACGGGTGCGAGCATCGGTCAGGAGGTGGTCACGGGCAGAGCGGAGGGTACGAGGAGGGGCATATCTATGGATTAGTGAAGAGATATAAGCGGGGCTAGAATTGTTCAGTTCTTTAAATGTATGGGTTAGCACTTTGAATTGACTCCTATAGCATACAGGGAGCCAATGTAAGGACTGGCAGAGGGGTGAGGTGTGAGAGGACCGACTAGAGAGGAAAATCAGTCTAGCTGCAGCATTCATTACAGACTGTAGCGGGGCAATACGGCTTTTGGGGAGACCAATCAGGAGAGGGTTACAGTAATCCATGCGGGAAATTACTAGAGCATGGACAAGCTCCTTGGTAGCATCTTGCGTAAGAAAGGGGCGAATGCGGGCTATGTTTTTGAGTTGGAACATTCACTGTTTAAGAGTATTTTATTATTAATATATATATATATATATATATATATATAAATATATATATATATATATATTTATATCAAAATACAAGTAGAATGATATTGATTAAATATATATATAATTATAAAAAAATGAAAAATATGTAAATGCGTAAAAATAAATAAATAAATATATGTGTGTGTGTGTGTGTAATCTCGTTCTAACTGTATTTTGACATTAATATATATATATATATAGTGATAACAAAATACTTGTAGAATGGAATAATATATCTATATACATAAGTGTATATGTATGTGTGTGTATGTATATATATATATATATATATATATATGCAGGGCCGCCATCAGGGGGTGACAACCATAATGGTTGTCACGGACCCAGCGGTCCTGGGGGGCCCGGACTGCTTTGGCAGACCTGGGCTCCACATTCCCTCTCTGCACATATATATAGCGATATACTTGCAGATGGGGGCCCAGTGGACTGCAAGTGCATTCACTACACTGACACACACTGCATTCATTACACTAACACACACTCTGCATTCGCTACACTAACACACACTCTGCATTCACTACACTGACACACACTCTGCATTAAGTACACTAACACACACTCTGCATCCACTACACTGACACACACTCTGCATTCACTACACTGACACACACTCTGCATACACTACACTAACACACACTCTGCATTCACTACACTGACACACACTCTGCATTCATTACACTGACACTCTGCATCCACTACACTGACACACACTCTGCATTCACTACACTAACACACATTCTGCATTAACTATACACACAGCATCCACTACACAAACATCCTATATTCACAGTACACACACTACATCCACCACACATTCAAACACTCTGCATTCACTATACAGAGACACTGCGTCTAATACACACACTACATCCACTACAGATACTGCATTCACTAAACACATTGCATCTAGTACACACAAACAATACATCCACTACACAAACACACACTACATCCACTACTTAAACACATTCTGCGTTCACTATACACACTGCATCCGCTACACAAACACACACTCTGCGTTCACTATACACACTGGCTCCGCTACACAAAAACACACTCTGCATTCACTGCACAAACAGTATCTAATACACACAAACACTACATCCATTACACACATTCTAATTCACTTCCACTATACACACCACATTCAGTCCTGCATCTTTTGCAGCGGACTAGGTAGGAGTCCTGTGGGCGGACTCGCGGGCGGGGGGTCCCAGACCTTGTGCTTTGTCAGGAGCCCAAAATTTCTGGTGGCGGCCCTGTATGTATGTATGTATGTATGTGTATATATATATATATATATATATATATATATATATATATATATATGTATATATACACACATATATTAATTCTAAGTATATATTTCTGTAATATTTTTACCTGCCTGACAACCCAGGCAGAAAGTCTAGGATATTTAAATTGCTAGCACTATATATTATTTTATTTTATATTTTTGCTGTGCAAACATGCTCGAGGTACCCCAACGGCAGTATATCAAGCTGTACATTAGGGATAGTAGATTAGACATACACAATTTTATATTAGGTTAATAAACATGCGTGACAATTCAAGATACAATGGCAGGAATTAGTGAGACTTGTTTACATATGTGTAGACCATGCTAGACTTGCGGACGCTGACTACATGGTATAACATGCTAGCTGGGTGTACAATAATAGGCTAGGTATGCAGTAACAGACTAGATATATAAGAACAGGCTAGTAGTGGGTTTAACATCTGGATTGCTGCCAAGTTGGATAGCATGTGTGAGTTCAGTGGAACATGTGTCCAGATATGAAGACTGTGCTAGACTCTCTGATGCTGACTGAAATTGTATAACATGCTAGCTGGGTACATACTAACAGGCTAGTAGCTGGTTTAACCCCTGGAACGCCTCCCTTGTAGTGTAGCAAGTGTAGGCATAAGCAGGCAACTAAAGAGACTCAAACATAAAAGAATTAAACACAGATTCAACAGTATTGACTGTCTGGGTACAGATGGGCTAAAATGTTGCAGCATGTCCTGGGGGGCATGGTTACCGTGCTCGGGAACATATGGCACTGTCAGCCAATGCTTTAGCTTGGTGTAGCCACATAGTCCCTGGGAGCTACTGGGTAGTTGATCACCCGATGCCCCTTCTGGAGGCTGTGGTTACATGCTTGGGGCGGACATCGGTGAGCCTCCTCATCTGCGCTTCAGGACCCTCTGTGTCCACAAGATCTTCACTGCGCATTCCAGGTGGGGCACATTTGCAATAGTAGACAACCCAAGGTATTGCAAATGTGGTATGTCCAGTCTTTTGTAGAAGCCACTTAGTCACGAACACGGTCCAAAATTGGCGTTGAAATTAGTTTTTTGCATTTTTCACACACATACAAATATTAACGCTAACTTTGGCCAGTGTTTGTGACCAAGTGGCTACTAAAAAAGACTGTACATACCCCATTTGCAATACCTTGGGTTGTCTAGTATTGCAAATAGTATGCCATCATGTGGGTAATTCTCATTCCTGGGCTACCATACGGTCTCAAAGGCAACGTAAACAATCTGGCGAATTTCAATGTGAAAAAACCTAAAGCTTGGAATAATTGGGATAAAGATTTTCGAACGCCTGTACATATTGATCAATGGTATAAATCTATATTAGCAGTTAAAAAAAAACCACTACATTGTTTGAACCTTATCGAACTTCACTATAAAATACTCCTTCAGTGGCATCTGATCCCCAAAATTATGAATAAAATAAATCTGGCAGATTCTCCACTATGTTGGGGGTGTAATCGATGTATGGGAAGCTTGAAGCATATTTGGTGGTACTGCCATCTTTTGAATACGCTATTGAGTAGGATTACAAAAAAAAAGTAGGTTAGTGAATTGGTGAATGACTTCCAAGTTGTTATGTTTTATTTTAACCTTTCTGGAATACCGACTCAAAAAATATATTTACTAATTCACTTGACTATGGCTGCTAAATCTCTAGTTTCTGGCTAAAACAAGAAACTCGTACCTGGCCATATATATTAAAGCAACTCAAATATCAATACACAATGGAAAAGGGAATATATTTTGAAAAGAATGAATAGTACCAAAAAAGATAGCAACCCTGGCTGGGTACCTTAATTATAAATTGAAACTTTACAAATATTGTTCTACTTTGTCTAATACCTGAATTCAAGCTATATAGTTTGCTTCCATGATAAGAGTTAACAACAAAGGAACTAGTTCTATTCATTAAATTCTAGACACGTGCAATTCGTTTAGTTCCGAATGGGAATCCAGACGAATTTCGGGTAATTCGGACATTCGGATAACTCGTTCTGCCGATTTGCGCTACAATGTAATATCAGACCCACCATTGTGACATGCTAAAAGAACTAAACTGGCTATCGCTGTAATCCAGACGCACACTTCATCTTTCCAGCCTTGTGTTTGAGCTTTTCTGGGGAGCTCCCACCCTACCTGAGCAAAATACTCTCCTCGGCTGTTTGCACCTCCTATAACCTCTGATCCAGTACCAGCACTTTATTTAGTGTACCTCAATACAAAAAGAAAGCAGCCCGATCCTCCTTTTCCTACAGAGCACCGCAATTATGGAACGACCTCCCGCACACTTTAAAATCTTCCCCAAGCCTAAAGTCCTTTAAGAGATCCCTCTCTACACACCTCAAAACAGAATGCACGTGTCATGGTTGATTATATATTTCCTACCTGTTCTATGTTAAATTTTGTATTTGTTGTGTATTAATATTGTTTTTTATATTTTATTGTACCCTAATGTAACAATGCAATGATTTGTGCACCCACGACATACCTGAAAACGAGAGAAATCTCAATGTATCCTCCCTGATAAAATATTTTATAAATCAATACATTTCAGCCTCTGGGTTGGCGATCTATGTTAAAGCTGGCCATTTTATAGACTGGCAAAATACTGTCAAGTTTGCGTGCTGGGTTATTCCTTGTAATGGTGTCAATCTGGCATTTGACCACACCCTGTCTGTGTAATCACTATATAACTGGTGTGTTTGCCACCGTTATAAATGGTTTGAAAACAAGATCAATTTGAAAGCGGGAAAATAAGACCATGGTAGTGGTTATAGTACCAAAGGTGCCTTGGTGCAACACAGTCCCATGGTAAGTAATCAACTGTTTTTAGTATGGTTCATGGTTTCAGTCTGGTGCTCCTTTCTGTAATAAAAATGAAATCTCCCACATTTTATTCAATAGTCTAATTTTCAGCAAAGTGACAGCTCCCCTTCAAATATTCATAATAAAACTGAATTATGTGTAAATTTACTGCCTATAGCTTGCTTACTAGCTTTACTATATATAAGGGCAGTATATAAGTAACTTGTTTATCATCATTATACCATGTTGTTTTTAGTTGTTGTTTTTTTTAAACAATCTTTATTTGTTGTCATCACACAGCTATATAACCATTTTAGAACGTCACATGATTGGGGGCGGAGTTTCCGCCTGGGTTTATGTAGGCCGTATCATGTCTCAGCTGAAGGGCCCGCCCACCAGCTATTCTCATTGGTCCGTTCTTCCTTTCCCTCTTCTCCATTGGCCAGATAACTCGGCGGCCCCGCCCTACGGAAGTGTGTCCTTGACAGTGTGAGAGGCGCTGGCCACAGGGTTTGGATGTCACTATGGCTCAGTCGAACCCCCCCATGATTGATGGCTTCACCCCCAGCTCCCCCACATTAAAGGAGGGCTTCAAGGGCAAGTTTGTCAGGAAGGTCAAAGAAAACCCGTTTGTGCCTTTAGGTAGGTATTCATCCCAGGGATCACAGTGACTGCTGAGCATCATGGGATATGTAGTCCTAGAAAACTGGAGGGCCGCAGGCTGGATTAAAGTCTAATTAATTTAGTCATAACAGCAGCTGCATATAGGCACCTGGTCATATAATGGCTTTAATGACAGCAGTAAATTTAATACCTTCTGGGCAATCTATTCAAATTTTGCAATATTTTATATTTTAAGTTTTAATATTGAATGCTCCTTGGTAAAACACATTAAATATCCTGTGTGTGTAAATGTTTTTAAATTAGGTTTGTGTTTTTGCTCTATATGAATGTCCGCTATTTTTTTTAAGTTACCATTCCAAATCCTAGCCTCTATTCTGACAGGGTTATTCATTAAACCAGGGTTTTTTCAGGGAATTTAATATTTTAGGCTCAACAAACTCAGTTGGGAACATTGCCCATTGCAGCTATTTTTTGAATTTTTTTTTTTATTTTTTTATTTTGCAGCTCTGCTGTTTTGGCTTAAATATTGAAATTCTCTTGCCAGTTCCTGGTGAAGTGAATAACCAGGATTGTGTGTCTCTCTTATCAGCCATTAGTGTGGCATGAATGTACAGTACTGGGAAGAGACAGAATTAAAGGAACACTCTAGACCAGGCATAGGCAGCCTTTATCACTCCAGGTGTTTTGGACTACACCCCCCATGATGCTTTACTAGCATTATGGGTGTAAGAGCATTATTGGGGATGTAGTCCACAACATCTGGAGTGCCGAAGGTTGCCTACCCCTTGCCTAGCCTAATAAATGCATGTAAATAATGCATTTAATGAAAACACTTAAACTTTTTTTTTTTTTTTTTTAAACTAGGTTTCCTGTCTGACGGCTGCAGTTACCCTGTTCTTTACTGCCCAACAAACTTCCTGGTTTCTACTGGAAGCGTTTGTTAGGACAGCTAGCAGCCAATTTATTGCTTCTCATAGAGCAACATTGGATATCAATTAGCTCAGGGTGAGCCAGACAGGGAGCAAACCAGTATCTCTAACCAGCTAACCTCTAGCAGGCACTCTTATAGTGCAGCGTCTGAGTGAAAGCACTTTGTTGAACAAATCCTGTATAGCCAACCTGGAATTCTTTTTGTAATTTTTTTTTTTATTTTTATATATATTATTAAGATAGTATTACAGGATATAACATTTCATAAGAATATGTTGCAATATTTTTTAAGACTGGATAAAGCAGTATATCAAGGCATATTATGATGTTAACATGTGTAACACAGAATTGCATGGAATTCAGTGCTGACTGATGCCAGAGGTGGGGTTACACTTTGACAAAAAAAAAATGAAAATAACACTGATGACAACATTTCAAGAAGAAATACACATACCGCTTTGGTGCACCAAAACTACTCTGACAAGTAAAAGTGATTATGGTGCATAGAGTATCCCTTTAATCAGGGCTTGACAAATTTTCTTGACATCTAGTAGCTAGCTAAAATAGTTCGGATTTTTGAAAGTCAAAAATAAAAATTTTAAAGGGACATTCTAGTTACCAGAACCACAACAGCTTAATGCAGTTGTTTTTAAGTCTATACCTGCACACTTTTCAATGTAAGCACTGACTTTTCAGTCTCCCTAGCTTTGGGAAAGCTGGAGTGGATTAGCTTTCCTTGAGGCTCAGTGGGGCTGCGGTCATCGCTCTGCTCCCTAGAGCACTGTCTAGTGATGGGCTGGAATGATGTCATATTCTGGCTCCCTGCATCACTGCAGCGCGCACAAAGGAGCAGGAGATCACAGCTTCCTCATCACTCTCCCATTCAGCCGCCTGCGGGCCGCTTCACTCATTCAGCTGAGTGAGCCGACTGCCCACCCCCAATCTTGGGCAGTTGGTCACCTCTGGGACTGAACAGGCTCACAAATCCAAGGCGCCAGGACAAATTTTCTGGTCGCCAATGCGACCTGGCGGCTGGAATTTGTTCAAGCCCTGCCTTTTAATAACCACAGCAACAGAAAGCAGCTGTTATCTGCAAGTGTGGCAACCATCAGTCTTGGTCAAGCCAGCACATGTATATTGAGTTGCTGCACTAAGGATGATGAATCGTGCCCTACTCTGTGTCTTTCCATTCTGTTATGAGTCTCCACATACAGTGTGGGATATGAAACCATGATCTGAAATGGGTAGATGTGTAGCGGAGTAGTAGTATTATCCACGGTATCACCGCTGGTAGACCGAATCAAGCAGGCACAAAGCAGGTACAATCCAGGTAGCGTAGTTACAATCCCTTCCTCCCAAGAACTAGACGACACATAGCTTGGAGGTCAACTGAGGTATTTATGGGATTCCCCATGTAAGGGGTTTCCCTACTGACATTCCAGGGGTGGTACAGTAGGGGACTGCATGGGGAACTGAACAATACATGCATTTTTCCCACCATGCACTGCTGCACGAGAGGGATACTCCCACGAGAATATACCGTTAAGTGGATTATCCCTCCGTGCAGCAGAACTTACATTTCACATTAAAATACATATCTCCCATAATATTCCCTTCATTTAAACGAATGGACGTTCGGTAGATAGCTGGGGTCTGAGCGCATAGTTCGTGAGAATACCGCTCAGATCCCAGCCTAACTAACCGAACGCCGCACGAAATACACATGAAATTCAAGTTCTGCTCAAACTACCGATTTGATATCAGGGTAACAACCTCCCGAACGGCCGGGGCTCCCGAACGGCCTGGAAGTCCAGCGGGGTTCGCGCCGTCGAGTAGCCGATTTTGGTTCCAGGCGCTCGACGACAAAACCCCGATGGGCTAACAAAAGAACCAAGATGGCCGACCGCCGCGTGGTCGGTAGTCGAACGACGACCACCTAGAAACACACTTAATTACCGATTGCAACAATGTTAATGGGCGCCACATGACCTCCTGTGTGTGGTCGTGCATTCAGTAAGTTATTCGTTTCACGAACAGTGTTTAAACTCACTGTTCGTGAAACTACAGTATGAATTCTGGGGTTTTCATACCGCCAGCATACGAATGCCCTCATTCGCCTGAAATACAAATACAATACTGCACTGGTCTCTACGGCTTTAGCAAGAATACAAACATACGTATACATCAATAGTCTCTAGTGGCTAGTTTTGCCACAAGATGGTAGACTGCTCGTTCTGTGTATCTCACATTCTAAACCGTGCATATGGGATTACTTACATTTTTTGTAACATTAAGAATATTACACATTTGCAACTGTAGTGCTTTACCCAAGAGCAAAAGTGTACATGAGTACACTGAAACTTTATATGATCCAAGCATTAGAATATATTTTTCATAACCTGAAGCGTATGTAGATGTTTGGTTTGGGTTTTTTTTTTTTTTTTTTTATTAAATAAGAGCACTTATTTCTCTTTGTCCAGTCATCTTACTGCGATTAGTAATGTTACCTTTGAGACGGTGTGGTAGCCCAGGAATGAGAATTACCCCCATAATGGCATACCATTTGAAAAAGTAGACAACCCAAGGTATTGAAAGTGGGGTATGTTTAGTCTTTTTTAGTAGCCACAAACACTTGCCAAAGTTAGCGTTCATATTTGGTTTTTGTGTGAAAAAAGCATAAAACGAATATTTGGCCAGTGTTTGTGACCAAGTGGCTACTAAGAAAGACTGGACATACCCCATTTACAATACCTTGGGTTGTCTACTTTTGCAAATGGTATGCCATCATGGGGGTAATTCTCATTCCTGGGCTACCATACACTCTCAAAGGCAACATAACCAATCTTGCAAATTTCAATGTCAAAAAAATGAAATGCAAGCCTTATATTTGACTCTCTAACTTTCCAAAACACCATAAAACCTGTACATGGGGGGGTACTGTTATTCTCGGGAGACTTCACTAAACACAAATATTAGTGTTTTAAAACAGTAAAACATATTACAACAATAATATAGTCCATAAAAGTGCCGTTCGTTTGTAAAAAAAAAAAAAAAATGCAAAAAACGTAATTTTTACTTAAAATATCATTGTTATACAAGTTACCATTTTGAAACATTAATATTCGAGTTCAGTGAAGTCTCCCGAGTAAAACAGTACCCCCTATGTACAGGTTTTATGATGTCTTGGAGGGTTACAGGGTCAAATATAGTGCTTGTGAATTCAATTCTCTGCACTTTCTCCCTGTGTTGTCAGGCATGTCAATCAAATTTTAATTAATCAAATCACATAATTATGTTAAAAGATTACTTAAATATACACGTAGAATTTTAATATATATGCATTTATAGGTATTTAAATTCCACGTGTATACTAATGTAATCTTTTATGTAATTATATGTATTTTATATATTCATAACAAAATACAGTTAGAATGAAATTACATATGTATATATAATTTATATGAAATTTTATTATTGTAATTATGTGTGTGTGTGTGTGTGTGTGTGTGTGTGTATATATATATATATATATATATATATATATATATATACTCTATTATATGTATGTGTGTATGTATGTAACGTCATTCTAAGTGTATTTTAATACTAATATATGTACTTATATTAATATTAAAATACATTACGTATGACGTTACATATATACAATATGTATACATATATTATAAAAAATACTTTTAATTTATTTTATAACATGTTTAATTTTTTACTTTCCCACCAGCAGGGGGACTGTCTGACATTTCAGACAGTCCCCCTGCTGGCAGATCCACAGCCAGCTATAGGGGGCCATGTGATCGCCCTTTGAGGAGGGCTGCCTGGGCTGTCAGGCAGCCATCCAGAAGAGGATCGCGGTGGAGGTAAGTACCTCCGATCGCCAGGGGCAGAAAGCCGTTACGGCGTTCTGTGCTGCCGCAACGGCTTTAAAGCCGGGACGGCATAGAACACCGTAACGGCGTTAAGGGGTTAATTGCAGACCCCTTTCCTTTGTTTTGATTACAAGGGTTGCTAAAGAAAAATACCTCAAAATAGATTCTGATTTAGGAAATATCACCTGTGCTTTGGATTTGAATCTGTTTTGGAAGTTCTAAGTCATATATTACAAACGTGTATTAACATTTTACTGGCAAATGTTTCCAAAATGTAATATGCAGACCTTTTTTCTTATAGCGGTTTTGAAACTTCTGTAAACATTAATGGTTTTTAAATATCTTTATTTTTCAAAAACTGTAAAATAGAATTTATTAAGTATATTTGAAAAGATTTTAGAATAAGCTCTCTATATTCCTGAATAAACAATATTGTTGTATGTCCACAAATAGCGATGTGGCACACCCCTCCGGACACCAGGAGATGGGTGGACCTGGAATCCCTGATTATGAAATCGGACCTCCCTCAGTTTTACATATGGACCCCGAAAGAGCACAGAGCACTTTTAAGGACTACCTGCCCAGCTATTACAAATTCGATTCACATCTGGGACAAATACGCCACAAAATACGAACTAACAACATCGTCCTCCCCCCTCACCCCCATATATAGAAATAGGGCATTTATTCCAGGCATGAGACCCAGAGATTTCAAAGGCCTGGAAAATGCCACGACATAATCACCTTCGCTGAATTACAAACCAGAACAACCCTAACCCCGCAGATTTCTTTAGGTACCTCCAGCTAAGATACTATGCTACCCAAGAATCTGTTAAAAGAGCGGCACTAGCTAAACCAACATTCTTTGAAAACATATGCCTGGCCGAACGCTACCAAAAGGGATTGATCTCCCTCTTGTACTCCCATCTCTGCTCCACTACACAGGACTGGGGCACCCTCCACTACACAGACAAGTGGGAAACCGACCTTGGAGAAACATTAGAGGGGATAGACTGGCAGGACATATGGCAGGCCACTGCTAAAACCTCTATTTGCGTCACGATGCAAGAGCAGGCCTACAAAACGATGTTCAGGTGGTATACCACCCCTGTTCAGCTATATCACATGAAAAAAACACCCACAGACCTCTGCTGGCGCAATTGTGGGGAGAGAGGGACATATACCCATATGTGGTGGCACTGCCCTAAGATTAAAATTTACTGGACGGCCATTTGAACCCTCATGACCCAAATATTTGATAGGCCAATGACACTGAACCCTTGGACGTTGCTACTGGCCAGACCTCAGGAGAATTGGTCTAAACCAAACCAGCATCTGTTTAACAAAATAACCTTAGCGGCCAGGAGAGCGTTAGCCCAGACCTGGCTACAGCAGGACACCCCCTCAGTAGCAATAGTGATTAACAAAATCAAAGAATGCCACTTAATGGACAAACTCACGGCCCAAATTAGGGGCACAACCAAAGCTTTTACTAAGACGTGGGAACAGTGGGAGACCTATAATGACCAGTAAGACCAATTAAGACCATGTAGCAGAAAGGAGTCGCAAACGCTAACGATGGACTGCAGTAACCCCCCCCATACCTTGCCCCCCCCCCCCAATCTACCTCAACTTCTCTCCCCCCACCCGGCCCACGACCGTTTGGACCGAGATTACCGGTATCCTGGCCCACAGTTCAGTTATTTTGTTTTTCTATACACACTGTTCTTGTTGAAACAATAATACCAACAACCACAACGGATGAAAGTAGAGATGTTAAAAATCCTCATATGTACCTGACGTGTGTATGTACTTTTGAAACGCTCTTGCACGAGCCAAACCTTATGCATTGTCTACTCCATACCGTTGCAAAAATAAAGAATTCAAAAAAAAAAATATTGTTGTATGTCAAACGTGATATTCATATATAGATTTGTTATTTTTATATAGGAGAAACATGAGCTATCTGTTGTTTTTCACAGGGTGCCTAGCCACAGCTGGAGCTCTGACTTATGGACTCATCTCGTTCAAGCAGGGGAAAACTCGGCAGTCACAACTATTGATGCGTGCCCGTATTTTGGCACAGGGTTTCACAGTTGCTGCCATCATGGTTGGAGTTGCGATGACCGCTATGAAACCTCGTTCTCCCTCTCGCTGAAGGTGCGGTATTTCAAGAGGACTCCCTTATAAGACATCTATGTACAGTTTGCTCCACGTTATATTTTTCACAATGCAAATCTGCTTCCCTTTAATGGTGCTGAAATGTAATTGGATTAAATTTGCCACATAAAATACATCAAATAATCGCCTTTTTTTTTCTTATTAAATCTCCGGATATGACTTTTAATGCTGTTCAGGTAAGCCTACTGTTCTATGATAGGAGCCTCATAGGTACATACATATATGGACTGGGGGGGTGGAGAAAGGCAAGTCTATAACAAACAAAAAAAAACCAACAAAAAACATGAAAGTATTGTAAAAGTTACCTTTCTGTTTCTCTTCTATTAAAGTAATATATTTGTTTGCTAAAATATAGAGCTATTTCATTCTGTATTACCCTTTATTCTGTTGTGAAATATGTACCATACCTTCCTAAACTTTAAATTCATCATCAAAGAAATCATTCAGAAGATATTGACAACCTTCAAAGGTTTTTCTGCTCAACATTTAACACTGTGCTCATTCAGACTCCAGTTACACCATTCGGGTCAGGGCCGCTGCAAGGATTCCTGCCGCCCTAAGCAACAATACATTTTGACGCCCCCTCATGAACGCAACTACATTCCCTCGCAGGTTTATTCACTAAACTCTGAATTACAGTGAAGAGACATTTAGGGAAAGAGACGCACTGAGTAGGCATTAAAGGGAAACTATAGTGCCAGGAAAACAAACTTGCTATCGTGGCACTATAGCATCCCCCTCGTGGTGCAGAAAGGGCTAAAACCCCTTCTGTCACTTACCTGGGTCACCAATGTGCTGGCTTTGGTCCGCCTTCGCTCCTCAATGGCCACGCTCACAGTGGTATTTCTGTTTTGCGTGATGCTGGACGTCCCCATACATAGCCACTAGAGGAGTTAACCCTGAACGGTAATTATTGCAGTTTCTTAATTGCAATAATTACCTTTGCAGTGTCACTTACACAATCTCACTAATACACACACACACACTCATTGTCATACCCACCTACACATTTTTACTCTAACTTACACTCACTAATACACACACCACCAGAGTCACTTGCACTCTCACACTAACACACACACACACACAAACACAGCAGTTTAATACATACCAATTTACAAACATGCACACAATAAACAATCCCCCTTAACCATGCCATACCTGGGTGCTATGAAGATGAGAAGAGGTCCAGCCTGCAGGATGTTCCTCTTCTCTCTGCTGGGGGAGCAGGAGAGCCGTGCACTCTGAGCACAGACGGCTGCTTCCTGCTCCCTTCACCGTGCTTCCGTTGTTCACAGGCAGGGGGCAGCTGGAATACCAGGTCATGTCCCGGCTTCCCCTGCCTGCAGGAAGCAGTGTGCTCTGCTCGGGTGCTGGGGTTACAGTAAACCCAACTCCCCGAGCAGGTAATCAGCTGCAGAGGGAGCCCAGCAGCTGAATGGCTGCGCTGGAGGGTGGCTAAGGAGCTGCTCTCCCAGCATCCCTAGACAGCAGTAGCAGGGCAGCCCAGCAGGAAACCTCTCGGTGGGTGCCCCCCAAAGGCCAGCACCACAGGCGCATGCCTTATTCACCTAATGATAGCGCTGGTCCTGATTCTGGTCAAAGGAACACTTCCCAAATACAAAATAAATATTTTTTTTTTATATATATTCCCCAATGAAAATATGAATGCGTTTGCAAGCTGCTCGCTTCTAATCCTGCCAGACTTTCTGTGGCTCTTCAATCACAGACTTCTCTTCTCTTTGCAAGGTAGGTGTTCTGGGTAATTATCTGAATCTTGAGCTTAGCTCCACTTAGCTAAACAACCAGGAAGTAACATGACCTGTTGTCTGATTGGCAGCCTGAAAGTGTAACCAGGTGAATTTATAAAAGTGCTAATTTCAATTGAAATCTGCACTTCTTGTAAAATGGGGGAGGAGGGGGGCTGTTTGTGTATGTGTATATATGTGTGTGTGTGTGTATATATATATATATATATATATATATATATATATATATATATATATATATATATATATATATATATATATATAAAATCTATCTCTGTGTATGTAAAATAAAAATATTGGGTCATACATTTTGGTTCACTTAAGCTGTGACGGATTAATTACTGGTCCTCCAGTATGAAATGTAAGTGGTTATCATGTCATCTGTGTTCAGACTTTTCACACTAAATGTAAACATTCAGTGACGAGCTTATGAATACTGGTCTGTGTTAATGAGGTATCCCGCAGTGCCAGATAAACTTAGACCTCCTATTAGACCCTGTGGTTTTGTGGGGTATGATTGTGGCACTTTATCTTGTTGGAAAACGTTTTTTTGATTTCTTTTTTTTGTGTATTTTCTGGTGTATAGTCCTTCCTCTACATGCCATACTTCAGTTGGTTTCCTGTATATCTTAGGCCTTTGGATATTCGTATTGGCATGCTTGATTCTTTTTTGCCTCTCATTATTGAGTATAGTATGTAGCAACATTATACCAATTGACTTTGTCAGCAGTAGGATTTGTTTGCGCTCAAAGCTGGTTGTTCTGGTTTGAGATCTTATGAAATGCAAAGGTATTCTGTTCACGTGAGTCTTTAACCTCTCTTCCATTTGTCTCTGCCTTCATAAGTGGGAGATACTGGGAAGTGTATCTTTTGTAAAAATCTATTTTCTACAGACCTATGAAATCCTGAGTGTGTGGCCCTTTGGAGTTATATTATTTGTATTTATTTTTTGTTTTAGGAGCAATAACAGCACTGCCCATCACTCCAGCCATCCTCAGAGGTCCATTGGTGTTACACTTTTAAACACCCACGCTTCACTGCTGCCTCCTCCTTCCTGCGATTGGCCCAGCTTGGGGACAGTGTAACACTTTAGGCATCCCACACTTACACTTGCAGGAGGACTAGCACAGTGTCACCGAGCAGGAGAGCTGTCTGTTAGAGGGCTTTCTCTGTTCTTTCAATCCTCATCTTGGACCTATATGCTGCCAGCATACAGGTATAATGCTTAAAGAACCACTATAGTGCCAGGAAAACATACCGTTTTCCTGGCACTATAGCCCTGAGTGCACCCTCAGGGACCCCCGCCCGGCTCTGGAAAGGGGAAGGGGTTTAAACTACCTTTTCAGCTGGGCGGGAGCTCTCCTCTCCCTCCTCTGATCCTCCCCCCCGGCTGAATGCTTGCAGCGAGCTGCTGTAGCGCATTCAACCCGTTGCATAGAAAGCATTTATAATGCTTTCCTATGGGCTAGCGTGCTCTCACTGTGAAAATCACAGTGAGAAACACGCATATCTAGTAATGTCAATGAGACAGCCACTAGAGGAATAGGGGAGCCTGTAGAGCTCAGTCTGCGCGGAGCCCTCCATAGGTGAAAATGGATTAAAAAAAAAATTAGCGTTGGGTTTTATTATTCGTCAGGTTTTTTTTTTGCGCTCTGATTTTTTATTTTATGTTCTACTGGTATGATGGTTTTTTATTTTGCCTTTTTTGGGGCTGAAAAATTAAGATTTTAGAAGAAAGAAGATATCAAATGGTAAGTTTTCTTTTTATTTACAGGTTAGTTATTTTATTCCCTACTCACTATTTGTAGGGTGAGGGGGGTAGTTAGAGGATAGTTTTTATTTGGGTGGGGGGGTGGGTGACTAGTCAGCTTTAAAGGGGGTGGGGGAATTTGTCCTAGTAGGTCCCCCCCCACCCTCATTATCTTTATGGCCCCCACCCACCGCTCAGGGTTGGGGGCCGAGGAGGGAGGACAGTAGCCACATTTTTTTTTTATTTTTTTTAAAATCACAGAATCAACACTGGAGATGATATACAGGCATACTCCGCTTTACATACCCTCACTTTACGTACACTAGTGCCTTGCAAGTACGGACATTCCCGCGCTGCTTCTGTCAGCGAGGGAACAGGAAATGGAAGGTTCTATTCTCGCCCGGAGCAGCTCTTCAGCTTCCCTCCCCTTTTTTTGGGATCATTGTGCAATAAACATTATATAAAATGTATGTGACGTAGTTGGCATGCACCAAACAAGTACTTGTACGGTCATGAAGAAAGCAAATAGCTGTTGCAATGTGTGTGCCTTAGTACCCAACCCTGGTAATGTTGTTGCTTCTCCGCAGTATGAGTTTGAAAGCTGCAGTTCTCACTGGCCACCAGTAGGTGCTGCGGCCATTAGCACTTTGCTGATTGAACTTTTATTGGAGTATTCTCTAAAGTGAAAATTGTCGGGAATTCAAAGTGATTTTCACACTTGAAGCTAAATTAGCTGAACTGGTAAATTCTCCAAGTCAGCTATGCTTTCAATTTGGCTATGTTGGCCTTATATTTGCAATTCACATTGAATTAATTTCTCACCTTAATAAATAACCCTGGAAAACATAGGTTGGGAGTGTTCTTGATGCCGCCAAGGAGTGCAACATCAAAGATAAGAGACTGCAAAAAGATAAACTGAACACGTACATATTTATTTTGTAGAAAACACTTTCATTCCAGTTTAGATAACTGTATTGCTTTAACAAATGGAGAACATGCAATTTAACATATATGTGCAAATACCTTGGTTTTGGGTTTTTTAATATTAAATAACGAATAAAAAAAACAAACAAAAAATTAGGTTAGAATAAACAAACCGTGACTAGAGCTAGACTGGACAATTTGTCCAAATTGCTATTTTTACCTGCCTACATTTTGAAGTTGTATTTTCAATTCTCTAAAATCAGATGTTGATTTTAAAAAAAACCTCATAATTGGTTTATTTTTCTATGGTAGGCATCTCCCGGCACAATTTATGCTCCGCGTTTTTAAATCTGATCCAATTCTGTTATCATTTGATTCCCATCCAATATATTTAGAAAAATGAATAAATAAATTAAAAAAAACATCTATCAGAGAACATGGTTTATCTTGACTTAGAAAGGATTTGTACTGTGACGAGACCACTGTGCATTGGAGGAGCCTGGTTGCCTGCCTGCTGCCTTTTGACTATGGACCGGCATTTAAATACTTTATTTTCCTATGCAGAAAGGTCTATTCATGTATTTCTGCCCTGGCGTTCGGTAGATTCTCGGATTTACTGAATGAACTAATTTAACCCAGATAGCTATGCCATGGAGCCTATTCAGACTTTGGCTCCATGGCAATTGAACTGTATGTGTGTGGTCTGAGTGCCAATCAGTAATAATGTGCGTTCAGACCTAAGTTATCTGGGGATATGTTGCATGTCTGTATTTTATGTAATAAATGTAACCTTGTGTATTTTAATGTATTTTACTGTCTTTTGCTGCCATGTGGCTAATGGAGTTTTGCCTCTGTCCTTGGAGTTAATTGGATTACTTCTCAATTATCTCCAGGATAGAAGACTCTGTGGAACTGGTTTTGGGCAGAAAAGCCATGCATCATTTGGTCACAAAGGACTTAACTTTTGACCCACTGGACCAATTTGTATGATTTTGACATATGTTTGTATTTGGAGTATGCTGATTCTGAAAATGTAAGTTTGGAGTGCTACTTTGTATCCTGTTCGTTTGGGGTTCTGCGGTAGCTGTGCCTGTGTCTCTGGAAGGGGAAGATCTACTAAACGGCGGTTTAACCCTTTTATGCCTGGAGGTGCCGTTACATGTACCAACACTATATTTAACCAGTTTTACAATTAAGTTTCAGTTAGTACATGGCCTTATCTATACAGCTATCAGTTTGGTTTTAATTGTATAGAGAACTTTTTTTCTCATTAATTGTAGCTCATGTTATATCTTTTACAGTACGTACATCATATTTAGCCACATTTACAAAGTCAATATACCTGCACTCTGTGTATAGCTTTAACTAATGACATGCTATTTATTGCCTTATCAGTTACTCTAACAGTTGTTGCCAGACAGAAAGAAAAGGAGAAACGTTAAGAAGGCATGGACTAGCAGGCAGCTGGATCTTCAAATGCAGACTTTGAACTCTATGTGATGTGCAATGCTGGGCACTTACTGACTAGGCCCCCTGGGCCACAGAAGACATATTTGGGTCACCATGCTGAACAGGATTTGCCATGTACTGAATATGTTTTGACCAATATAATTTTTAAAGGCCTTTTGGACCGATAAACGATAACTGGTACCAATATTCTTCTCCCCTCCCTGCCTTTTACCTGTGGCCAGGGAGGGGAACTTTGTGCAGTCTGCCAGGGTGTTTCCCATTGTAGAGGGGGCAGATCAAACCATATTCTGTTTTCCGGTCCTCTGAGAGTTGGAGAAAAGAGTTCAAGAAAACGTGCGCTGCCCCCCGCATGATTGGTATCAGTATAGGCTGATACCAATATTTGCCATAATGCTGAATATCGGCCAGAACCTATAATTGATCGATCTCTAGTGCTGACAACTAGATATTAAAATCTTGAGAAGTATTGTTCAAGCACAGATCGTACTTCTCCATGATTAATTAACTAGGGCTCAAAATTTCTACTCACCACTAGCAATTGGTGAGTGAAAATGTAGTTCTGGCAAGTAGAGTTTACCCCAGGTGTGTATGCCAGGGACCCTTCAGTCTTGCAGTGGCAAGTAATTTAAATTTTCAGCTAGTAGTGCAGCACTTGTAGGCCCTGTAATAATATTATATTTTTAACCAAAGAAAGTTTTACATTTTGATCCTTCAGGATGCTGCAAAGGGATGGTTTCAGAACTCTGCTTGGTCCGCTGTAAGTGTTTAGAATCCCCCCCCCACCCTACTGAACACTGCTCCGACATGTCATGAAGATATGAAATGGGAGATAAAAAGAAATATCAGTTATTCACACTGCAATCAGTGCAGATGGATGGTGTATTTATAAAACAGAATACCTTTAAAATAGACTTAATAGCGTTTTATTTCTATGACACATACAAACATTGATCACCAAACTACATCTTAAATGTTCTTTGTTTGCACTCCAATAACAATGTAATGAAACAATAATGACAATTGCATTATAAAGGGTAATTGATATACTAAAGCAAAAAACAAGCATAATCAGTGGAAAATACTGTAACCGTTGTATAATGTGTATCCTTATTAATTAGAAAGCTTCACATGGGTTGGAAATAAGAAGCCAACATTTGTCCTGGTTTAGTTTATTATAATCGAGAGGTGAAAAATATTTGTGCAATTCTAACAGGGTTGTTCACTTAGCAGTAAACTGTCAGCATAACAAAAAAATGTTATGCTATTGGCCATTTTGACTAAGAAGTGTGCAATTTCGTAGCCAATATTTCACAATTCTACCTGTAATTTAGCTGTTGGAAAAGGGCAGTTTATTTTGGTCAATGCTGGCAAAGCACGGTGCGATTTGAACCCAGAATAGCCAGACATCTATCTGTATTTTATAGTTACATTAAAAAAAAAAAGTATTTCCCAGTTAAAACCATTATAATACTAACCACTGCCCACCTCCCTACAAAAGGTACAGTCGATGTTAGGACTAATCTAAGTTATTCACTAAGCTGCGAATTGGTAGAAATTGACCAGTGACATGCAGATGTCAAGCCAAAATAGCTTGCGATAGAAAAAGAGTTATTGAGGTCTTTTACTATTGGACTATTTTGGCCTAAAATTCGAACTTTACTGGTCAAGTCATGATTTATGTGAATAACCCTGTTTAAAAACCTATGCTTTTACAATTCCTGATTTATTAGACCTCAAAAGACAAATTTGTAATTAGTCATTTGAGACAAATCAAGTGAGGTGGCATTTTGTTTTCTGTCCTCCTCGAATTTGATTCTTCAATTTATTTGAACACACTTTAATGCCCATATGATTATTATACATTTTATGAAACTTAATTTAAACACGGAACCACAAAAGAATTGGATCTGGGTTTGAAAAGCTCTAATAGATGTCAAATTCTGAACGTTTAATTTTACTCATAATTTTTCGAGCTTATCTTCAATTCTGAACAATTAATACTAAACAAGGCAATAAACTAGCATCCTTAAAATGAACAAATACAATAGTATCAGTTTAATGTGTAGAGCAGACATCATAAATGAGTAATCTAGTTATCTTCTGTTGGTAATGTGACTTTTATCTTGAGATAATTAGCTGTAGGTAATGGGTAGAGAGAGCTAATGACATTTGGCTGTTACTTTAAATTGATTATACATTGAATTAAAACTGGTGATGCTTCTCTTGTATCATGTCAATCAAATTCATTTTCTTACAACATCAATAAAAATAAATCCCAAAGTACCATATTTTAATGAAGCAAGATTGCTAACAAAATTAATGAACTTTAAAGGTTTTTTTTTTTTTCACACACTGATGATCGGGGGCTCATATGAAACATACAATGCTATAACATTTAAACCTAGGAAACTATATCGAAATTCTGCAAAGCAAGTAATGACTCTTCAAAATGGAACTGATTTAAAAAGCAGGAGCAACAAAAGGCAAAGGATCTCAGTCTTGGTTAGCTATGGAGGGTTACAAATGACATTGCTGAAAATGCACACACACGTGGGCAAAGTTTAAATCAATACTATGTAAAAATAAATTAACTCCATTACAGATCCTAGCTTATTACACATAGTAATGCCGCAATACAATATGTATACTCAACAATTAACAAAACTTTTTTTTGTAGACCACTGCAATTTTTTAATTAAAAACTGAAACAAACCAAATTTCAGTTTTAGATATTTTTATGGTAGAGCCCTCTCTCCATCCAATTTTTTTTTTATTTATACAGGATAATATTAACAAATTTAAATATACTAAAGTTCCTGCATATTTTAAACATTTTCAAACTTCTTGTTGACTATTTCTTTCTTAATGTAAAACACTTCCATCCTTTAACCCCTTAAGGACACATGACGTGTGACATGTCATGATTCCCTTTTATTCCAGAAGTTTGGTCCTTAAGGGGTTAAACCACAATAATTTGTACACCCAATTAGTTCCCGGGGGGGGGTCTTCTTCCTGGAACTATAACATAAAGAGTTAAGAGGGAGTTTGTGGTGTTATGGCTAAATTTCCCATAATGAATAGAAGGCACCAGCCTAAGACATCACTTTCACAGGGAGTGACGTAGGAGGCAAAAGGAGTGAGAAGTAGGAGGCAAAAGGAGTGAGACGTAGTTCTATCTACTTTTGGGTCGACCCAATCTATTTCTGGTAGAGCTCCACTCATTATAGACTATATCATGCCTGTCTCCCTGTATCCCAAACCTGCATTCTCCCCATGCAACACCAAAATGCCTTTAATTTAACTCTTTAGTACATCTTTTAGGGTAAAGAGCCTAGAGACTTTCTTTCAGGGTTTTCCTGTATCTCTGGCTTTTCATGTTGTGTTTCTAATTCGTCAAAATTATTATTTGTGCGACTTGTGTAGCTGCCAGTTATGACTTGGTGCAACATCTGTGCATAGATTTATAACTCCCTTTCCTAAATCGAGGAACAATACATTTCAATTTAAACATCCTTCTTCAAACTGGTCTTTAAGAGAAACATTTTAGCAAGCGGTCTTTAAAGCCAGGCACACAGAGACACAAAGGAAAGGATACACCAACAAACCCTTCCCTACACCCATCATCACATATTCCCATTTACAATAAAATAAAAAAGCAGAACTTTTATATATTAGAAACTTCACTAATTTAGATGTTCCCAGTTCAGTAGTTGAGTGAGTCCCACTCAGGTTAAAAGATAGGTGTTAGAGACCTGCTTAAGTTGAAGGCATCATATCAAGTGCCCGATCCTTCTTGCGATAGTTTCTTTGGTATAATGTGATGCAGGGAGGTGACGTGAGCTTGAAGAGGTACTTAGCGAGATAGGGGCGTCTGCTTGAGGGAGATGAGTACAGATCGCAGACGAGACACATCTTTTGACTGCTTGCTGCTCTTAGGGTTGAAGTCACATAGCCGGGCAACTCTTTCCCATTCTGTCCCAGTCTCATCATCTTTAGTCTCAGAGACCAGGGTTTCATCAGATGCTCTATAACAAAATAAAGTTAAACAAAATCAGAGAAGTCAAGAGCTGGATATGAAGGGAAAACAAACTTAGTACAATCAGCAAACTAACCTTTACTGTTTAAACATAAAAGTGGAATTTTTCATATTCATGCTTGACACAGCACTTACATGTCATACAGTGGTACAAATGCTAGACACAATCTGTGTTCCATGATTAAATGACAGGTGAAGACAAACACACAGATAGCCAACTCCTTATACTAAATGCACGTCACATCACATACATTATCTCTTTGTAGACCTTTCTCTACATATGACTTTGGTTCCAGCCTTGGGCTCCTGTGGGTCAAGGATATATATTCAGCACCCGGTGTCAGGACGAAAGGAACTGACACATTTCAAATAAATATCTGTATTTTGAGTGCTTCTTTTCTTTAGCCAATCAGAATTCATTGTAAGATTAAAATCTTGGTTAGTGGCAAGAAGATATACCAATGGAAATAATCTAGTGACAGCCCCCCCTTGTAAAATACTGGTTTCATGGACAACACAGATTAATTACAAGGAAACCATGATCATGTAAAAGTTTATAATGTACATCGCAACAACTCTCTTTACTTTAAATATGCTCTTTTTATTTGCAAACTAGACTAAAGCTTTATCCCTGCAAACGTACAGGCAACACTACAGACAGAGCGCACACGCACGAGGACACACGCACGTGCGCGGACACACACACACACACACACACTTTCTACTTTTTTATTTTTGAGAGTATTATGCATATATGCATATGTATATTATAATGATATTTACATGTGTTTATATTATAAGCATTGTTTAAATATGCATTATACACTCCAAACTGTAGAGAATAATAATTTGAATAATATTACTTCCAAAATATAGCCAGCACACACACGCATTACATCCAGATTGCACACACCACACACACACACATTACATCCAGCCAGGACACATACACGCTACATCCAGGCAGCACAAACCACACACACATTACATCCAGCCAGCACACACCACACAGGCATTACATACAGCCCCGTGGGAGGGGGAGGAAGCTTGGAAGGGGAAACGGGGAAGGGTGGTGGTCAGTAGGTGAGACACTCCGGATAACTCACAAAACTTAGAATGTTTAAAAAATAAATCCAAATTGCAAAACTGAAGCAGAAATATCCATGTTTTATCTAATTTAGAAAGAATTTCCAGATCTGTTATTTGTTGGCTCTATTTTCCCATTCAGATTTAGTTTGTGAAAAATGTAGAGTTTGGAAAACAGCCCAATGTCCAGGGGTCCCAATCTTAATACTGATATTATTTAGTGACAGGACAAGTGGATTGTCATGACAGACAAGTAGATTGGGCTACCACTTTAGTCCCTTGGACGAGTAGATTTTTTTTATTTCACACCCGGGATATCCCTTTAACAAATACCACAAATTGAATCACGAACAATATGCTTAAATGAAATAGAACTCCTGAAATGGAAAACAATATAAACATAACGCTTGAAATATGCTCTCCAAACATGCAGAGAATTGAAAAGGTAATTGCTTATTCTCCAGTGTAGCTAGTTTAGTGTGTAAACCTCAGTGTGTGGACAGGTTCATAAGGTGGTATATGAAGGTGTGATAATGCGGCATGTGTATATTTACATTCCTCTGTCTGAAAGCCGACCTCTGGTTATTTGCTAAATGTATTCAATGCCCTGTATGACCGTGCTGTATAAGAACTGCTATCTGAACAAACACATAGAAGACACTGTTAACTGTGCATTCACTGGCTATTTAAGGCTGAATCAGACACAAAGAAAATAGAAGTCAACATACACGTAACCAATGACCTCAGCATTAGGCTGCTGGTAAAATGCTTTGTCCACAATCCTGGGAGAGCAGCATGCAAGAGAAAATGGAAAGAGAGAAAATGGAAAGAGGAAAGTGAAAGGTTAATAATACAGTAGGGAATTAACCGAGAAGTGAGAAGGAGCAAACCTGTTAGCAGTCAGAATGAGACAACTTGTTGGTTATAACGAGAAAAATACTTTTTAAAACCTAGTTAAGAAAAGTTCCCTATGTGACTCTCATATGTTATACGTTAAGCATTGTAGTATTAAAACATTTTGAAACAGTTTTGTCATGAAGAAAATGTTTCGATTTTTTTCCCAGTTATAAATAACTCCTGGCGAGCATGTACAAATACAATGTTTATACACAGCCAACTGTAGTGGTTATGGTCCCAGGAGTGCCTTGGCGCCCAAACAGCGTAAGTAATCAAACAGTTGGGCGTGTGCCGTAGCCTCCCTTTCTACAAGAGGCTCTGCCACTGACCTATGCCTTGCCGTGTAGAGCCTGGCTCTTTGGCTCAGAGTGCCCGGCTGACAATATGACGAGCCAACGTTGGACAGCAGGGCTTAGCTCAATGTAGCTAATGAAAGCTCTCTGCAGGAGCTTTTGGCAGCAGGATAGATGGCACAAGGTGCCCAGCAGGACCAGGGTAAGGTGTCAAACTGTTTACCTACTCTAATTGGGCACCGGAGCTCCCCTGGTACCATAGCCATTACAGTGGGCTATAGTGGTTATGGTGTGTGGAGTGTTGCAGTCAATTTTAAATGCAGTGATGGATCTGTCTTCTGTCTGGATTTTAAACTGGTAAATCAGAAAATGTTTTCAGAAAAAAGCAAAAAATATGTTCTGCAGAAATCAGCATTGGATACCTGCCCCTCTAGCAGATGTTTGTGAAAAATACTTTTTTTAATTGTATACATATAATACATTAGAATTCCAAGCGAGCAGTGGAAGGCAGCCACATGGTGCAAACATTACAAGCCACGGATTATTACTGAATGTAACCCTTAGCACACAGCTCAGTGTGGCACTGTCTGGACTAGCTATGGAAATAAAGCTTTAATGATGTTTATAAAAGGTATTTAGAGGATAGTCATAATTAATTTTGATACTTCACATGCTTTAACCTTAGTATTTCCTTACACCCTGTGTGACATGCTGGTAACCTTATTTTGGGATTTAATGTTTGGTTGATACAACTGATTTCCTCTGCTTACTTTTAATTCAAAATGAATGAAAACCACAGACAGTCAGAGAAAGAAGATACAAACATAGAAACATAGAATGTGACGGCAGATAAGAACCTTTGGCCCATCTCGTCTGCCCAATTTTCGAAATAGAGTGGAACCTCGGAACTTGAACTTAATCCTTTCCAGAAGGCTGTTTGAGAACCGAGTTGTTCGAAAACCAAATTAAAATTTTCCATAAGAATTAATGTAGATTAGATTAATTTGTTCCAGACCCCCAAAAGTAAATGTATAAAATCATACAGAAAACCTATAAACATAATGTAAATTAAGTGAAAATTTAACTTCACTTTACCTATCGGCTCTGTTTGCTGACAGAATGGAGCTCTGTTCGCTTAGTCTAGTGCTAGGAGGCCAATGCGTCATACCAACGAGGTTCCAAAGTGGTACTATAGAGGTTAATGCTAATACCGAGACATAATATTTTGTTTGAGGACCGAATTGTTTGAGTACGGGAGTGGTCCAGAACCGAGGTTCCACTGTACTTTAATTAGTACCTGGCTTTATCTTAAGTCTAGGATAGCCTTATGCCTATCCCACACATGCTTAAATTCCCTCACTGTGTTAACATCTACCACTTCAGCTGGATGGCTATTCCATGCATCCACTACCCTCTCTGTAAAGTAATACTTCCTGAAATTATTTTTAAACCTTTGCCCCTCTAATTTACGACTATGTCCACATGAGTGATATGCTGTTTATGTGTTTGCTTGGATCGCCTCTTCTTCAAATGCAAGCTTATTTGCTTATAGCAGTTCAGCTCACTCTGTGTTGCTAGTGGCTGAGCTGTGTATATACATAAGGAAGTTTTTTTTAGAATTGACAGGCATAGCTATATAAGTAGGGGTATACTGCAGCCAGTGCCTATCTACCATGATCACAAGAGTCGCAGCTGCCACCAGGCTTGTTACTCTAGGGGGCCCGACTGCAGCTGTGACCCCTAAGACCATGGGCCACCGGCATAACCTTAGGATCTGTGAACATGCACTTCCAGGGTGACCAACAGGAGGGGAGCACACTGCACAGCGCTCCTCATCCTGCAGGTCACTGAATGTAGTGTAACTGAGCAGACATTGATCTAACAGAAAGTGCTCCTTGTGAGACCAGGTACTGCTGTCAGCTCAGAGGTGAGCAGGTACAGGAAGGGGATTGGGGAGAGACACATGGGGCAGAATAGAAAATGGAGTGGCTGGGGGAACGAAATAAGACACACGGAGGGGTGGGGTGATGAGACACATGGAGAGATTCGGGGGAAATGAGACAGATGGAGGGGCTTGGGGGGAATGAGGCACATGGGGGATTGAGATACATGGAGGGGTTGTGGGGGATGAGATACATGTGGGCTTGGTGGAATAAGAAACGTGGACGGGCTGTGGAGATAAAATACATGGAGGGGCTGGGGGGAAGAATTAAACACATGGAGGGGTTGTGGGCAGATGCTGGAATGAGACACATGGAGAGGCTTGGGGGATGGGACACATGGAGAAGCTTGAGACATGAGACACATGGAAATGCTGATGGAGGGAATGAGACACATGGGGGGGCCACAGGGCAATTTTCACACCGGGGCGCGGTGGTATCTAGTTACGACTCTGACTGCAGCATACTGCATACATTATTATGCAGAGTATACAAAAATACTGCATATTAAACCAAAACCTACCAAATGCATTAATGTTAGTGTTAATAAAGTAGCGTCCCTTTGATCCATCTTTGATCTCTGTCTTAAACTGGCTACTCATTTTGCAGTCAGAGTCAGTAATATAAGATGCCTCTAATTACCTAATTACTCATGACATCATAGTAATCATACATAATGAAAAAGATATTTTTTTATTCATTTACATGTTTATTCACGAAAATGAGAATTCATTTCAAAATTAAAGCCAAAATGGGCAAACTAGAATTCGCTAAGCCAGCTACACTTTTAGTTTGACTAATTTGGCCTGAAATGTAAAATTCTCTTTCAACTGACTTTGAAAAAAAAATCACTGTGGTTATAAGTCCACATTCTTACTCACAGATCTAAACAAATCCTATACAGCTTGCTGAAGGAGTCTGATCTGTGGCGTGCACATGTAGTTTCATCTATAGCTTCATTCACAAAACTATGAATGGAGATGGCAGTAAACTGATAGCAGCACTGATGGCACAATTGGTATCACTGTAGATGGACAGATGTTTTGTGGAAAGTTAGGATGGGCTGACACGTGTCAGCTATGTCCTAGTCTTGACAGAACTCTTTGCAGGAAGCTGCAAACCACAAAAATTTGTAACAAATCCAGGAACATATTTATGTTTTTTTATAATTTGAATGCATTTTCAATACAATGTATTGGGAGTCAGCTATAGCCTGCAGTGCTGCATTAAGGAAGTCACAATCCAAAATATAAATCTGCAATCAAACCACAACAAATTGTTCCTACTCGGCCGGCTGTTTACTGTAACAGATGTAGCCAACTGTTTGATTGACTATCCCTTGTTAAAGGGACACTGTAGGCACCCAGACCACTTCAGCTCATTGAGGTGGTCTGGGTGCAGTGTACTTTTGCACTTAGTGTTGCAATGTTAAACACTGAAGTTCCAGAGAACTGGAAAATTGAAGTTCCAGAGGCGAGACTTTTGTCAACTGTTTTGTTCAAATGACTCTGATAAAGCTATAAAGAAGCAGATACTCCAAGCACCATGACCACTTCAGTGATTACGCTATAAAACGCTGCACATTAAGAGTTTCACTTTCCTGTCAGCTGTGTATTTTTGGCAGTATCATTGTGTAGTTTTTTTTTAACTAGCACAGGTGTCAATTAAGTGCATATTGGACATCTCTCATCAACACGCACAGCATATTTGTGATAGGCATCCGATGGTGGCCTGGAGAAGTTGGCCTCAACGCTGGAACAGAGGTAAGTTTTAACTTTTTTTTTTTTTACTTTTGAGAGAGGGTAGGAGGCAACATTTGAAGGGTTACTCTAAACAAAAACAGTGTCTTATTAAAGCACAGCTTTTTGTTGTTGTCTAAACATAAGCAAATGCAGAACAGAGGTACATGGTAGAATTGTTTAGTATAATGCCAAATATGTACCAATTTGGAGAGCCTAGACTGAGATCTTAGTATGCAGCAACTACATATTCACCTATCTCACTTTTATTTCCTTTATATTGGATTTCATTTAGTGATGACCAAAGGGAAATTAAATGGAAGCTATATGTATAAGTTAGGAGAACTTAAGTGAGTTTGCTATGCTGAACATACAGTTCTTGAAGTGGTAGTGAATTTTCTTTTACATTGCCGTTTATTTAAGAATAAGTTAAAGGTTAGGGTGACAAATTTCTGGGCCAAAAGCTAATCGTTGTTCATGAGCACTTTCAGGCTGAGTGCTTTGAATAACACAAAAGGTGTGGTTTCCATTCATAGTGACTTCAGTGACATTTAACCCTTGGGCACCATAGATGTGAGTAACCATTTATAGTGCTCTTTCCTATGACACTTATTGGGATAATGATTTACGACGTTCGACTGATTATAAATGCTGCATTCCTGTTTGGGTCACAAGTCACATGAGAGGCTAGACTTTTGTCAACTGTTTTGTTCAGATGTCCATGATAAAACTATAAAGAAGCAGTCTACAGACAAAAAAACTATTCTTGGAGAGATACAAAAGTTGCCTGCGATTTTATAGGTACATTGTTACCATCAGATGTAAAAGTGTTTTGTTTTTTTGCTAAAACAAAAAAATATGCATACCTGAAATATTTCAGATTGTTCTTCTTATCATCAAAATCTGTTTTAAATTAAATTCCTACATTTGTTTTAAGCATTTTACAATATGTGACAGCCACTGCCAACATAACAGACGGCTGGTTAGACAAACTGTTTCATTCTATAAAGCCAAGAAAACATTGTCAGAACTGTTAGATCTGATTCAATCTTGAGACAACTGAGCACTGGAAAGATCCAAAATCAAATAACTCTTACTTAACAAAAGTATGTATTTTAACAGCTCTAGATGTACAATTCATGATACAATTTTTTTGCTGCTGAACACCAAAGGCTTTAAACAATATTAAAGGATCACTATAGTGTCAGGAAATCAAACTCGTTTTCCTGACACTATATAATCCTTGGGGGACCCTCAACCTCCCTCGGCGCTGGTGACCTCTCCTCCCCCACCGACGTCAGCTCCCAAATGGAGTGGAATGCACATGGGTGGCAAGAGCCGCGCGTGAATTCTAACAGTCCATAGGAAAGCATTTCTTAATTTCGCATCCAGCGTCGCAGAAGCGCCTCTAGCGGCTGTCAGGAAGACAGCCACTAGAGGTTTGATTAACCCTGCTATGTAACTGCTATGTTTACATGTGAAGGGTTAAAACCTGAGGGACCTGGCACCCAGACCACTTAATTGAGCTGAAGTGGTCTGGGTGACTATAGTGTCCCTTTAAGTCCTGCTGTCTCTAAAGGAGAATTAATTACGTTCTGTGTAAAACAAACATATAAAGGAAGTGTATGCATAGTGTGGTGTTGGTACTTTTACATGTTTTGAGTAAAGTATGTAAGACTATCTATCATGTCAAGGCATCCCATATAAGATAATTCTTGTTTTAATTACAATTCAGTAATGTTGTATGAAAAACACACTTGTGATTGTGGTCACATTAAGCATTAGTATTTGGCAAGTAATGCGTCAGATCCGTTCACGTTGGGATTAAAGCAACACACTATAGTGGTTATGGTGCCAGGATGTCCTGATTCCCCCGATTCCCCCTCTCCCCCTCCCCCCCAACCCCCGGTCATCATTTGTGCTACTCTTATAATTTCCCATCATTACAATTGGCTGAATCTGAGTTTTTATTGAGCGATTTAACAGCTTAAAACGTACTAATGTTTATCACTGAAACATGCAGCTTCCACCAGAAGGAATCCTGCTGTGTTCGGATCAGCACAAAGCACATTAGCATACCGATCAATATGTGGTGCTATGAAAGAGAGTTATAGAGTGATGCAATGCTGAGTGCTCCTAAAGCCATCTAGAAGTAGTGACTTTCATTGGTCTTATCTACTCCAAGCATGTTTTGTGCATCTGTCACAAAAGGTTTCTGGAAAATCTCTGTCATAACCACAAAAGCATAATTCCAGAGTGAAAAAAAAACCCTGGACAGTGGGACACGACCAATGAAATTTACGCAGTTATGTAATATGCTTCACTCAATAACCATGTTTCTGAGTGTCTAATTCTCATCAGATAATTTTTGAATCTGAAGTTAACTTAAGTGATCTAAAGCGGCTCCGAGTTTAAAAAAAGACACTCGATCATAAACTATCACCAGGAGAGTCTTAGAAAAGGAATGTACGGTTTGGATCTGTCTATAAACAATGTCTGGAATCATTACATAATGGTTTGGTTTGCCCTGATGATAGATCACTATTTTCTGCAACAATTTATTTTCAATGAATGTTTTTTACGTACCTGTTTGAAACCTTGTTTTTTTCTATCTGTTCGCTCTGCCTTTGGTACCACTCCTCTAGGTCTTTCTTGGCCTTCTCTCTCCACTCCTGCTCCGTCACCTTGGAAGCTGCATCTGCACGGACAGAGACACGTTGCTATGAATTGACTATATTGCGTAATATACTAAGAGAATACAGTAGGAGATGACTAAGCAATCTGTATTTTAGATCAATAAGACTTGCAATGTTTCATATCAAAACATGCTTTCATACTAGTAACAGTTTTTCGTTACTACAATCAGGTATTCTGAGCAGAATAAAAGCAAAGTCTTGGATTCTCCTATAGTAGTTACCACTCTCTTGTATCCATGTTTCTCATTGCAGGAATTTTCATCTTATGGATTGGAGTTGTCAAAAAGTTAAAGGAACACTCTAACTAAAAAAAATAAAAAATATATAGATATATATTTTTTAAATTACATTTGTTTGTTTATTTTTAGAACATTGCTCTGCCCTTGTTTTTTCTAAGCTATAAAACTTACCTGTTATCCAGCAAAGGGCCAGTCTCCTCACCAGAAGCTGGATCAGTCTCTGGTGAATTTATTAATATTGATAACTTTTGTCCAATTAGATGCTTCGCTTAGAGAAGAATTGACGACACATGGCACATGCACAGTAATCACTGAGTTTCACCATTCTAAAGCTTTTCTATGAGAAGCATGGACATCAAAACTTCTCGTATTAAAACACTGGACGTACACATGTTAATCTGAAGCCCTAGTGGCTGTCTTGACAACCACAAATAGGTGTGGAAACATCCAAATGTGATCAATGCCATTTCTCAGAAAGGGCAACAACTATGCCTTAAAAACACTAAATTAAGATTAAGAGATTTTGGTACTTGGACTGTGCCTTTAATAGAAGCCATAGTGCAGTTACTTAGGCATTAATGCTATTAATCATATGCAATGAATGGAATTACTGAGAAAGGTCTGAACTACATATCCCATAAATGGGACAGGAAAAAGTAACAGGAAGCAGTAAAAACAAATAAAAAAGTTTCCGCCACTTCTATATATAAACCCCAATGTGCTGAATTCCTATAGACTGTAAGCTTGTTTGAGCAGGGTCCACTTCAACCTTCTTGTAATTGTCCTATTTATAGTTCATTCTCCCCTCTCATAACATTGTAAAGCGCTATGGAATCTGTTGGCACTATATAAATGACAATAATAATAACAATAATTCAACTGCATAAGCGTGCATGTGATCCTCCTGGGATTACAGGCGTCAAACTTCTGAACCTGGGCTTGTCTAAGGAAGAACCTCAGCTATTGCGGAACTACTGGATACTTGAGATTAGCGGTGTGGTTCATAAACAGGAATCTCCCAGTTTGTAAAGTACTTGTAATTTGTCAAACGATGGTAAACCATAGCAATTATTAAAATATCTCTTTCCTAATACTGACAAATAATTGTAATGAAAAAGGCCCGTATCAACAAACGTATCATACCGAGCTCCTCCAAACGTATCTTCTGTTCCTCCCTCCATTTCCGGAGGCTTTCCGGTTCCTGAGTCAGTCGGTCAGCATTGGCTATTGCTGCATATCCGTCAGATTCCTAATATTTAGAAGATATGATGGATTAGTATCAGAGCCTTTTATAGAGAGTACATGACAGTATGGCCATAGGGGAGCATCATTCTAACTTGCATTAAATACAAATACATGGGAGAATAGGTCAAATATACAAGGAAATAATAAATAAAAAAACCAGGGGAGCTCTCTTAGCTGGTGGAAAAGTGTAGGCGCTCTATATACAGATGTGTTATTGTAGCTTATTTTTACAAGCATTACTGTTACTCCCACTGTTAATAAGGAATATTAGGGTCCTGATGAGACCAGACACAGACATTCACTGACAGACACACACTTACATACACACACACACACATTTACAGACAGACACACTCACTGATTTGACACACACACTCACTGACAAACAGACTCTCACTGATTTGACAGACTAACTTACACACACACACACACACACACACATTTACTGATAGACACTCTCACTGATTTGACACACACTTACAGACACACACATATTCACTTACAGACACTCTCACTGATTTGATACACACTTACAGACACACAGACACATTTACTGACACACACACTATACTGACAGACACTCACTGAGATTACACACACATTTACTGACAGACACACTCACTGTTTTGACACACACACATTGACTGACAAACACACTCACCAATTCACTGACAGACACACTCACTGATTTGACACACGCTAACATACACTCACTGACACACACTCTCGTTGATTTGACACACACTGACAGACGCATACACATTCTCACACACACACACTCACAAATAATTTACTTAAATTATTTTTATTTAAGTCAGTCTCCCTTCCTTTGGGAGATCTGTAGCGGATGCTTTCTCTGGTGTCTAGTGGAGATCTCTTCCCTCTTGTGTAATGTTTGTGCTCTCCCAACACTGCTCCTTTTCGTGCTGTTTAATGATGCCGTGACATCATAACAACATCATAACGCAGCTCCTGGCATCACCACAGGGCGCAAAGGAGTAGTGCTGGAAGAGCACAGACATCAACGCTCCCTTGCTGCACGTCTTCTTTCTCCCCTCCGGACACAGCACATTCGTGCAGAGTAGGCAGCTGCCATCACAGTAATCTGGTGCCTACTACTCTATGGTGGCCAGCCAGACAGCTTTTAAAGTAACCCCTGCTTGTGTTGCTCATTCCACAGGGTGAGAACCCGTATAATAGAGGTTCCTCAGAAACCTTTGTGTCCACATCACATGGAGTGTCGTTTAAAAAAAACATTTTCTTTTGTTCATATATACTTCCTTCTTTCCAACTGAAGTTACCTAAGATACAAACATACCATATTCGGTACTTCCTGAAAACATTTCATCCACTTCCTTACTCACACAATTACCTTTGTACAAGAAGGCAACCAGACTCACCTGGTAAATGTCTCCATTTACAGGGGTTGTCACCAGGTCATCAAATCCCACTGCAGGAACAAAAGGAAATTCAGCATAAAATGTTGTGGTTTTTATAGTTTGCCAATTTTAAATAAAAATTTTAAATTAACTTTAGACTTGTGGCAATTGATGTTTCATTCACAGTGAAAATATATATATATACACACAAAATACAGAATCCAGCACACTCGCTTATTCGCTAAACAATGATTTCAAATCTTAGAGATTGTAATAGTTTTATTTAAAAACATTTCACCTAGGCAAAAAATGATGGGGGTTTAGTTACATTATATAATCATACATTGGATAAGCCTGCCAACTACGTCAAAGTACCCCATATTCGGCAGGTCCTATCCTAGTAGCAGCCTAATGCGTGCTCTTGGTTTCTTTTATATATATATATATATATATATATATATATATATATATATATATTCATTAGGTTTTTGCAAAATGACATTTGTATGCAACATTCTGCATCCTTGTCTCTCTCACCTCCCCCATTCCAACAAATATGTCCTCCATGATGGTTATTGTGCATACAGTGAGGGGAAAAAGTATTTGATCCCCTGCTGATTTAGAACGTTTGTCCACTGACAAAGAAACGATCAGTCTATAATTTTAATGGTAGGTGTGTTTTAACAGTGAGAGACAGAATAACAGAAAAACGCATGTCAAAAAAGTTATGAAATCAACAGGGGATCAAATACTTTTTTCCCTCACTGTATGTAACAGCTCAATATTACAGCTGCAGGTGTCATCATGAAGCTCAACAACAGTCACTGGTAGTTGTAGTTCAGCTATCAGCATTCATAGGTAGAAACCTGATAACTGAACTACAAGTCCCTGAAACCCCTGTTCTGGGCAGAACTGAAGCTGTGATCAGAGAGTCCTGACGTCTGCGTACCAGCCCTTCCCTCTATGTGGACAATTATTTGACATATTTATAGGTGTGCATTATCTCTCATGTAGGCTAGTGATTGTCAAATTTCTGAATTATGCAAAGAGAATAAACAGCTAATGCCCAGTCAGCACTTTGCAGCCCTTGCAGTTCGAGTGGACCGTCACAGATCAGATATTTGCACAACCCAGTGACTTATTAAAAGTTAGCTATGGATTATGCTAACAATGTATGAGCCATTGTGATTTTTCTTTATTTGCACTGTGTGACACTGCCACAGCTTAACATGCAAATTTACCTAACACACATAGAGCCATATTAATAAGCGCACGTATGGCTCTACCGTAGGATTGCCCTAGCACATAGCTAGAGCTAGCACTGTGTTAGTTTTTACTGAGTGCAAAACTGAGCCATAAAGCTATCTGAACTGCAGAACATACATACTGATCATTTCCCATTAGTTTTCCAGTGTTAAATAAAAGACAAAAAGTACAAAGACGAAGTCAGGGTATATGTAGTATACAGAGAGCTGAAGGGATAGGGACTTTTTTCAGTTATGTTAATATTATTTAGAAGTGTCTACCAAGTACTGAACTACTTATTGCATTTTTATCAGAGACGTTGTGGCTCCATATTTAGAGAATGAGAGACTTCTGATTGGTCTGGCCAAGGCTGCAGATCTACAGTCTTGGGGTTTTTCATAGGTGAATTTATTAGTGTTTTTAATTAGTGCAAGATTTCCTATTTTATTGCATTATCTATTAAATGCATTCAACAAAATGGAAGTCACACAATGCAGTTTATTTGCACACACACTACAGAGCTGCTTGTGATGGAGCTCCAGTACTCCGACTTAGTTGCCAAAGCTTGCCTAGGGTCTCAGAGTACCTCTTCCAGAGGACCAGGGCTGCTGCAAATATACCATTTGCTTTACTATAGCCTTGCCCCCGCGTTACAGCGTGTTAAAGTTTTATTTGGTCACCCTGGAGAAGGGAGCGCTTTCAAGCTCTAGGTATCCTCCATTGCCTCCCCAAACTCCCCTCAAAATATATTTGGATTTCGGGGCACCAAGTGCTTAAAGACTGACCAGACCTTGGCATAGTCCCAATTTAAGGAACAGTTCCAGGGTGTTTCAGGGTTTCTGCCGTTCAGACGCTTAATGCGTACAACGAATCCAGGTAATCCCAGGGGTTCACAAGTTCGGACAGGAAGCACAGTAAGTGTTCTGGGCCCCCGTAGCCCTCCCCAGAGTGACAATAGGACCAGTGAGACTAGGCTTCAAGCCTCTCCAAAAGTCCATGGCACGGTAGGTTCTGTCACATTTTTTCAGTGTGTCCCCCCCCATTTCCTTGTGTTAATATAATAAAACAAAGTGTGTGTCCGTACTTACCAAGCTTGTGCTTGCATCACATTTAAAGGGACTTAGACCACTTAATCTCTTAGAAGTGGCCTGGGTGCAGTGTTCCTGTCCCTTTAACCCTGCCTCTAGTGGAACAAAATAGTGTTAGGAATACAGTTTTGTTTCCCTAACACTATAGTGTTACTTAAAAATTATGGAACAGGGATATCAACATGTAGGCAGCAAATGAGTGAGTAATGTGTGTAACATTTATTTATATGAATTTATTTCCTTTAAAGTAGGGGTAGTGGAATATTTTTTATTTTTGTGTTCAATACACACCAAACAAACAATGCACAATGTACAATTACTCCACCTAACGTATATCCATACCATCCTGTCTCCTAAAATCAACCAATCCATATAGCAGTAATCCAAGCTACAATTCCGTTCACAGAGCTCCAATCTCCACGGCTGCTACACAATGTATTTGCTAATCCCTGTAGCACTGTTATAAAATAGATGGGTTTTCAAGTTATATTTGATTTTTGTGAAGTGCGAGAAAGGTGTTTTCATTGCAACACAGAAAGCACATTCCCCTAGCAAAACACGTATAAATAGACACGTACTGCACAGTCCAAAAAATTTGCTAATCCAGATTTGCAAAAACATCCCACACACTGGTTCCTCCCTAAATTATATGAACTACAAATGTGTTTTATGGTACTCCCATTGCAGGCCGCTCCCTTTTTCGGTCTGTCATAATCATGAGCATTCCAAAAGTTTTGCACACCACACCACTATACGGCTTTCCAAGAGCACAAAGTATTCTGGGTAATTTTGAAAGTTCATGTAATTTATTCATGTGGGAGTTTGTGAACCTAGAATTTAGCATAATGTATTGCTATAATCATGCATTACAATCATATACAAATGTAGCACTCTACTTATTTCATTCTTTGACTACAACACACATTATTTCCATCTCCCAGCCAAAATGTCTGTCACTTCAGACGGCGGCTGCTGTCCAGATCTAAAATAATTATGAAATATTTGATTCTTAAATATTATGTCTGCTACAGTGTTCCTCTATATGGACTAAAACTACCATCACTATCAGCCAGTGGATGGTTTATTGCGCATGATGTTAATTGTCATGAAGGATACATGCATTTCATACTTGCTTATTAAAGGGACACCGTAGGCACTGTATCTGCTTCATCTCATTAAACTGGTTATAGTGTCTGGAGTCCCCTGGTACCATCATTTCTTTCAGCATTAAACAGTTTTTAATGTTGTAATGTTTTAATGCTAAACAAGAGCCACGGCAGTCTATCCCCTCTGTGCTGCTTTGGCTAATAAGGAAGTATTACCCTGAGCAGCAATGGGCTGAGAGTGTCAGCTGACTGCTTTTAACCTGTCAGAGCTCCAACTGACGGTATGAATGGGTATGACAACAAGCAAGTGTGTAATCTCTGCCTTAGCTACACATACAGAAGGGGCCGGACTGTGGGTGGCCAGGGACTCTTATTTTGTGGCATACTGCACGAACATGGTGCAACACTGAATGGAGGGACAGTGCCAGGGCACTCCAGGCACTATAACCAATTCAAAGAGACAAAGTGGTTAAAGTGACTACAGTGTCCCTTTAAATTATATTCTGCAGGCACCCCCTTACTACCGTTTGCGCCCCCACAATACACTGTTCACTATAAGGGGAGAAAAGCAGCACTTTATCAGAGCTCTATACACAGTGATAAAGTATTAATGCTGATAGGAGGGGATTATTTAGTAAAAGAGGAATTGCAAGGGAATTTCAAATTGTAGGCAAAAATTGCTGAAATGAAAAATTCGACAACATAGCTCCTTTACCGGTTTGGCAATTTTAGACAAATATCTGTTACCCTCTTGTTAACCGTAAACAGTCGCTAGTTTAGGGAATAAACTCTATAGTTTATAACATTAAGCCAATAGATGAGCTTGGCATCAGAAAACAAAGAACATACATTTGTGTTTTATTTCAGGGTAAATTATCCTATCTTTAGCATAACTGTGCCATTCTTCATGCTTTACTTAGAGGGTCACTTCAAACCCCTAAGCAACTTTAGCTTACCGAAAAGCTCTGTGTTAAGAGTGTGTCCTCTTTTTTCCCCAATTTTATAAAAGTGCCCATTTGAGCAGAAATCAACACTTTTATAAATGAACCTGGTGACAATTAGACATAAGTCCTGTTACTTCAAGAGGCCGGTAAGGATCCAGAGCACCTGTCTTGTAAAGCCTTCTCAATGACCTGTAATGATTGGAGAGCCAAAAAAGTCTATACTGGGGAAGAAGGGGTAGACTTGCGCAAGCTGCAGATTCTAGATCCAGGTCTCCAAATCATCCCGATTTCGCCAGGACAATCCCTATCGTGTCCCACCATCCTGGGTTTGTTCCTTGGTGTCCCGCTTTTGGGGACACGGGAAAAAGCGTAGCGTGAGCACATCATTAGACACTATGATAAGGACACAAGGACCATGCAGACTTAAACAGCAGCCTGGTGTGTATTTGATGCCGTGCTAACTTGCCAGATCTTGGGTGGGGCCTCTTCCTTTGGAAGGTGGCAGTGATCCCATTGTACAGCGCTATGGAATTTGCTGGCGCTATATAAATAATAAAATAATAGTAATACGATTTACGTCACTGGTTTGGCCTCTTTTAACCTATTTTCTTGGTTCCTCATTCATGGGAGGTTGATGTTAGGGGGTATGTACATCTACAGTTATTGCAAGTCAAGATTTTATATAAGCAAAGCAAATTACAAGCATATTTTTCTTTGGGGGTAAATCAAATTAAAAAAAAATTCGGTGGCATGTTCCTTTAAGGCGTTAAACTAAAATATAAATTTTTACCATTTCCTAATTTATAGTGAAGTTAAAGGCACAACACTAGTATCAATAATATGATATTTTCTACATGTTTTTGTTACTTAACTTTAGGACCAACAAAATGTCAGAGCTGTTACAGCCAGGAATTTGACTAACCCTGCTCCTAAAAGGGGTTTAATCTTTTTACACTATTTTGTTTTTTCCCATGAGAATTTTCCAGCATTTTCCTACAAGCCATCCTGTAAATGATGCTTGCTTGGGCGTATGGAAATCACTAGCCCATCTGACCACATTACTAAATAGATTTCTAAATTGTATTCTTTACAAAGGGGCGACAGCTGCATCCATAGTTTAAATTTTCCAAGCTAGCAGATTTACACAATAAAAGGAACGAGATTAGACGCTGTGAAACTGGGAATAGCTATCCTTGTCACTGAACCATGTAATAATTACTGTAACTTTCCCACGTTGAGATCACTACAATCATCGGGTCAATATTTTGTGGAGGCTGGATCGGATGTCACCTACTTCCAGACCCTTAGTAGTTTTCCCAAAAGGGAATTGCATAGCATTGATTTTTGTAGTCATACCAGGCTTTGTAAATACAGTGCTGAAACAAGCTAAATTATACATACTCGGATTGTTCCGCTTGCTCTATTTCTACTGTAACTGGATGTAACCTTTTGGGTAACAATGCAGTTTCCTTCTATATACATAGGCAAGGTTCTGGAAAAATGTATATACCAAAAATAGACATATTTATTTATACTTTGCACAAAACATATGCACAGAATTCATAACGCATCTATGAAAAGTTGCAGATTAGCTCTCACTCTAATCCAAATCAAATTCCTACCTACATGACACACAACAGTCCCTATTTCAACAGGATAGTCCCCATTTTAGGGTTTTGTCCCGCTTTAGTTCGCACCTGGGCAGCACAGCTCGAGAGCATCATTAGACGTGCTTGCGCTGTGAAGCGGGTGGTAGGACCATGCAGAGAACACTTCAGCAGCATTCTCTGCACGGATCGGTCATTGAAGAGACTGCCGGAAAGACTGTCACGCCCCTTTAGTTGGGGGTCATCCCCTTTTCTAAGTGGACCTGCTCATTTTTGGCATCATCGGTAACGCAAGTAGCGTCATTGGTGACATCCCCTGAGGGCCTGCCGCCACATTCTGTCTCCAAAAATTGGGCTGTACGTACCTAGCACCAAGTATTAGGAAGAATGCTTGAAGGGTGTTGTCAAATGTCACTTTTGGTTCATTGATACCCAAAAACAGACCTACCAAGTCATAAAGCAGTTCAGTGTGAAACACGAAATACCCTCCCGATCAACCCAGCACTATCGTCCAGTGCTAAAACTGCACAATTAGACAAGCACTCACAGTGCACATAGAATTAAAGAACAAGTGTCATCAAATTTTCCAACATGTATTCCTGACACTATAGTTTTAAAAGCACTGTTTAGGTACCTCCCTTTAAAAAATGTGTTTAAAATTACCCTTTCTCCAGTGCTGCGTTGGTCTCGCCATTGGCTGGCCTCGCCCTGCTCCAGTTGCTGAGATAATCAAATTTGATTATCTCTGCCAGTCAAATGCTTTCCCATAGGAAAGCATTAGGAGGCTATTGCGCAAACACCGTGCTGCATCAAACAGCATCTCCTCATAGCGCATTGTGCAGCACTGCCCCAGGAAGCTAGCACATTGTGCAGCACTGCCCCAGGAAGCACCTCTAGTGAACGTCTGAGTGACAGCCAATAGAGGTGTTGCTAGGCAACAAAGTAAAAACTGCCTTAGCTCTGAAAAGGCAGTGTTTACACTAAAAAGCCTGCAAGGACAGACTATACTCAACAGAACAACTACATTAAGCTGCAGTTGTTCTGGTGACTATAGTGTCCCTTTAATGGTATATTTTTTTTTCAAATAACCTGGCGTGATGGTGAAACAAACATCCAGTGCAACCCATAGAGAAGCAGTGGATTCAATGTGGCAATAGCTGTGTATGTACTCTAGGTCTGGAATACTTTACTATGAGAAGCATTGAATGGGACCAGAGTCCATTAATCTTGATGAAATCATTCCAGGAGGAGTGGCTGATTTTAGACTCCGTTGGTGCTGTATTGTATTACTGGTAAGTCAACTTTTTTGGCTGCATGAATGCACAGGCAGACAGCAACATATAGGTGGGTGGATAGCGAGACAGACAGATAGCCAGACATCAAAAATCATGATTTCAGCATCAAATGTCACAGTTTTATATCAATAACAGTTAAATCTCCCTAACAAATATCTATAGAATTTAACTTACAGAGATCTAAATCTAACTGTGTAATCACAGAATGTTTGAGGCCCCATGCTGCAAACAGAATAAATGGACTTCTCTGCATTACAGTGTTTGAGAAAGATGCAGTGCACTGCATATCTCCTCTTCCAATGGGACAGGGGATACATTCTTCAGGTAAACTACTGCAATGCTGTTTCAGAAATAGCACCATCGTCACGTAGTATTAAATGCTGGTTTTGTACGGGCAGCGTGATTATTCAGAGGAGCCATTTCAAAGCCAATCTTTTCAGCTCTGACAAATTATTACCCAAACTGGGATTACCACTTAGTGTTCTACAGTATCAGTAAGTGGTCAGTAGTTCGGTTTGGACGATATGATACATACAGGGATTTTTTTCACGTAATCAGAAGTAGTTGTGACTAGGAAAGAGTAAATATTAGGCCACAATTAGGCACAATACCCAAATCAGAAATAATTCACGACTCAACTATTTTTCCAGCTTTGCTATTTAGCTCGACACTCGCAAATCCTATGTCGCTGCTTCACAATTTCTGATTTAGTGACTAAACCCCATTGTCTCCATATGCACACCCAATAAATGCTCTTTGACCTAGCGACATTTCAAACTCACTGTTGTGACGAACATAAAAAACTATCACTTAACAGTAAATCTGTTCTAACACAAAGACAAGGTCTTTAGAGCCAGTGACCCGGGTTTTTTTTTTTGAGGGCCGGGACAATCAACCTCTATTTTAGATTACAAATACCATCAATGCCTGACAAATGTTGCTGCTGGCTGGGTGTAATGGGATTTGCAGTACTGTCTGCAAGCTTGAATGCCCTGCTTTGCCTATCATTTGGCATGTGCCAATGTTGATTTTTAACATTATTTGCGGGTTGTTCCGATTTAAAAACAGAAGGCCGGACCGGTTATATTTTCACTTTCTATATCCTGCTATTTTTTAATTTGAATCTGAGTTATTATTATTATTATTGCCATTTATATAGCGCCAACAGATTCCGTAGCGCTTTACAATATATTTAGTAAAATAATTTTGGGTCATCAATGCAGTATATTGGTTGGCTTCTTGACTGAAGTTTACTTTAAGATATGTTACTGGGTTTCTTTGTATGTTTAGGCACCACCCTTTCTACAAATTAACTAAGTCCTAGAACAGCAATTACCCAACCCGGACTACCTGAGCTGTGTGGTGCTTGTCATTCAATCCGACCGTAAATGAATCAGGTTACACAAAGAGTAAATGACTTTTGAGACAGGCTTGGTATCACATATACATACACAATGTAATAAATACACAAATATATATATATATATATATCTCTTCCTACAGTTGGTTCGAATGATTGGGTAACCTGGAGATCCCTGCGATTACATTTAAATATAAATGTAAAATTTTAATGCCTGGATTATTTATATATTTTAGTTTTAAGGTAGCCTCTAGATTGTAAAGTCATCTGAACAGGGTCCTCATCAACCTATTGTTCCTATTAAAGTTTGCCTCATTTGTTGTTAAATGTCATCTTTTATAACATTGTACAGCTCTGTGGAATAAGTTGGCGCTATATAAATGCCAATAATAATAATAATAATAGCAAACAGAAATAACCGAATTGATCAATTCAGGGGCAAATCAGGTGTCAATAAATGTCCCCCAAATTCCTGTTGCTGTGCATAGGATTTGGTATTTTTTATTTATTCTTTAGCAGATATTAGATGACATTATATGACTCATGTAATGGGAAGAGAAGACTTGCTGACCAGATACTACAAAAGAAACTGGAAATATTTCAACATAAAATCTAAACATGCAGCAGGCACCTGAATATTTTTTGTAAAATGTTTTTTAATGTAACCATAACACCAGTTGTAAAATTTCGGGCTACACAACGTTCTTTTTGGAACGGTCATCGCCCGAAACATTGCCACTGATCTCACTGATGCAATTAAAACCAGGATACGAGGGTTATTGGTGTGTTTTGTGTTCCTCTGCATTTATGTTTGGATCCTAGCAGAGGTCTCACTCTGGCCTACTGCCTTTAAAATTAGAATGGCTGCAGGATTTAAGCCCAAATCCTGTTTCTTGGTGATTATTAACTAAATAGTGGATTGTAAAGAACTGAATAAAAAATTGCGACATTAAAGCAACACAATCTATGGTCATAGCCTGGCTGTTTTAGCATAAATCTTGCAATCTGGTTTTCAATTGAGTACAACCAACACATGTAAACATGTGTATTTGAGATTAAAATTAAGGTTTAATTTGCACATAGCACACACCATTCACAGGCATAATATACATGATAAAGGCAGTATTACAATATATTTACTGATAGAATATTGATAGAATATCTTTAAAATAGTAATAGGAAACTAAAGCAGGTACATGTATCTCTAAAGTGCTAGATGAATCAACAAACACACGAACACACAAAAAAACAGATTATTATGCACTGTTTAGCTTACTAAAGCCACTGTCACTACAGTATTATATCCACAGCAGCAGTGAGACCAGTTTTATTCTAGAATTCCTTTGTTGCAACTACTACATTCTGAGCTGTATCTGGCAGGTTCTAAATCATTTGTAACTTCATCCAGCATTATAATGCTAGTGATCCATACACTGACTGAAGGTCATATAATATTGGCATCAGGACCCGATGTTTACCCATTTCTGAGGCCAGAATTCCCCCCAGAGCTTTACAAATGGAAGCAGTAGCTATACAGCACACTGTGTGCACACTGTGACAGTATGCCTACCTGCCTGCTCTAGCCTCAGACTAGCAGTGAGTGACCTTGGAATGTTTCATTGTGTCTTCTCTGTGCAGCAGAGTGTAAGCTCTTCAGGCAAGCTGCTGTTATGGGGGAGGATGAGGGGGGTATATGTGTAGCCAAAACCTGTGTTGCAGGCTTTGTAGCCTGTGATTTACCTGTTTCAATCAGTGAATCCGGGGAAGCCTGGCCTCCTACCAGCACTGCCCCAAAGCCTTCGTCATTCTCTATCCCAGCAATTTCGCTTTCCTGTTGGGCAAGGAAGGCAGCTGCAGGGTCCTCTTCTGTCTCTGCAGGAGCTCCAGCCTCAGAGGAAGAGAAGAAGCCAAAATCGTCAGACATGGTGTCCCCAGCTATGAAGGCAAGCCCTTTGGAAGAGTCACTGTGATCTCCTGATCAGAGAATCCGTACAGCGAGGGTGATCGTTAATAGCAGCGACAAATCATTCCCAGGGAGCATGCGGCTGCACCCAACCCTGTGACTGCTGGTGCTTCACACAAGAGGGAGGACCGCAAGAGTGACATCAGAGCACATTAGCTGCAGTTCCACCGGGACACCAGCAGGTGCTGCTGCTGAGCCCTTCAGCCTTCACTGAGTCAGGCATTGATAGAATGTCTGAAGCAGGTTGGGTATGTTATAGTATCATGTCATTAGGAAGACCAGATATAATATACTGTAATAGTAAAAGCTGTTTCTGAATATTGTTTTGGGTTCTTTTTTCATGTTCATTTTCACGGCATCACTATTAAACTGTCACATGAGCTTTAAAGTGCCACTAACCTTTTAATTTGGTGAGTATTTTCAATAGTAATGTTTACCTATCCATATTTTTAACACAAGTGTTAAGGACCACTCTAAGCACCCAGACCACTTCAGCTTAATGAAGTGGTCTGGGTGCCAGGTCCAGCTAGGGTTAACCCTTTTTTTTTTTATATAAACATAGCAGTTTCAGAGAAACTGCTATGTTTATAAATGGGTTAATCCTTCCTCCAAAGCCTCTAGCGGCTGTCTCATTGACAGCCACTAGAGGCGCTTGCGTGATTCTCACTGTGAAAATCACAGTGAGACCACGCAAGCGTCCATAGGAAAGCATTGTAAATGCTTTCCTATGCGACCGGCTGAATGCGCGCGCAGCTCTTGCCGCGCGTGCCCATTCAGCCGAATGGGCGGAGAGGAGGAGGATCGGAGGAGGAGAGCTCCCCGCCCAGTGCTGGAAAAAGGTAAGTTTTTACCCCTTTCCAGAGCCGGGAGGGAGGGGGTCCCTGAGGGTGGGGGCACCTTCAGGGCACTATAGTGCCAGGAAAACGAGTATGTTTTCCTGGCACTATAGTGGTCCTTTAAGATAAATTCTAGCCTTTTTGGTAATTGAACAGAGTATGTTGTGTTGGAGAAACACAAACAACGCTTCTGTTTCTCTTTCTATTTTGGATGTGTGTCCTGTCAGTCCTAAACAAGAGGGACATTAGCATAGAAAAAACATAGGGGTTTGTACCCTGAATAGGGACTTTCCCTCCTAAATAGGGACAGTTAGAAGATATGCTTTTTCTTTTATATCACCATTTTATATAGCGCTATGGAATAAGCTGGCGCTATATGAATGCCAATAATAATATTGCATAGAAATAACCAAATTGATCAATTCAGGGGAAATTGATCTTTTCTTGTTAAATAGGGTGTTAGCAGAGCTGGATTAAAGGAACACTGTAGGCACCCAGACCACTTCAACTCATTGAAGTGGCCTGGGTGCAATGTCCCATATCCGTTAACCTTGCAGTGGTAATTATTGCAGTTTCTGAGAAACTGCAATAATTATCTCTCAGGGTTGACTACACCTCTAGTGACTGTCGACCATACAGCCACTAGAGGGTTTCCTGGTTTGAAACTGACTTTTGGTCTGGTATCTAACACGGGACGTGCTCACGCTCTGCAGGAGGACCTACAGCGACAGATTTTTCCCCAATGGAAAGCAGTGAATAATGTTTTCCTATGGGGAAATCCTAATGCGAGTGTGGCCATTGCCGCGCATGCGCATTAGGTTTTCCCCGCTGGCTGATGTCGTGGGGGAGGAGCGTGGGCGGAGCCTGACCCAGCGGGAGGAGAGGCGCGAGGTAGGGGGGTTCTGTAGGATTCTATAGTGCCAGGAAAACGGCTTTGTTTTCCTGTCACTATAGAATCCCTTAACCTAGGCAGGGTGCCAGGTTAAAGCACCCTCCTAGAATCCTGGGCTCTGCTTCTGTGAGTGATGTGTGGTGGAGTAATGTGTGTGTGAGAGTGTATGGAGGAGGGTGAGTGTCTGTATGTGCTAGTTTGAATGTTATATGTCTTGGGGCTAAATTGTGTGTGTATTTAGGGGAGTCTTAATGTTGTGTGTGTGTATGTTCTCCCCCCACCTCCTACTTTTATTTCCTGGTGGTCCAGTGGAGTGTGAGCTGGATCCCTGGTGGGCTGGTGGGAAAGTTTTCTGATCTGCACGAATATTGGGTCCAGATTGCGGTTTCATATTCCGAGTTATCAAGAAGCAGCGGGGAACAGCAAAGACACCCTTAGCCCCTTAAGGACCAAACCTCTGGAATAAAAGGGAATCATGACATGTCACACATGTCATGTGTCCTCAAGGGGTTAAAGTGGTGTGCACCTGATACTGGTACAGACTACAACAATTCCTCTGTGAAGTGAGGTGGCACAGGCAGAGCTCACTCAGAGTTCACCGGGCCCTGGTCTGATCCCAGGTCCTATGAGGTCACTGTCATGCCAAAGCATGAGTTGGTGTTTGATGTGTGTTGATATATGTTAAGAGTTGTTGTTTTTGTAAACCTGGGCATGACATTTATTGTGGTCTTTGTTCTTGCACCAGGCCTAGACCCTAAACATCTAGATAGCCATCACCAGAGCTGGACACCAGGAATTGCATAGAGTGGACAATAAACTGCCCCCATGGGGTCTTCCCACTGAGAAACAGGGTGCTGGACTATCCAGTGAATTAATAATTTTTTTTCCTCTGGTCTGCAACTTCTAGGAGACCTATACCATCTAAGACTCCCACAAGAATTCTATATGGGGTAACTACATGTAAGACATTTCTTGTGTTTTCTCCTATTTTATTTTATATACTGTTTTGCAATTTATCTGTATGTCATTTATTTCTGTATCTTGTACTCAGCACTGTGAATCTTGACTGCTGACCCAAATACCATACCCGTTATCCCCAATAACGACATGACACCTGATTGTTGGGTAAGGGCAACGGCCACAGCTTTATTAAACTTTAACAGTGCCAGCATTTCCACCTGTCAGCTGTTGGGGTGATTACCCAACAGACAGATACTCCAAGTCTTTATCCAGAGTTCGTACAGCCTGCCTTTCAGCCATCAGCCCTAGCAGGCTGCGACTCCCCAAATTCTTTCCGTGCATTACGTGCGCTGGCCAGGAACTCCGCCATAGCTGTGACAAAACAAGAACAGAAACAAACAACACCACAAGACAGAAACCATCCCATCGCCTAGAAAATTGGGTAGGGCGGGCGGGAAACTGTTCTAGACCGCTCCCTCCCTTCTGCATTCCTTCTTATATCCTCCCATCTTGCAACTATGTATCTCTAATACTCCCGCCCCCCTTACTGCAGGACAGCAGTCATGCCTACCCTTCCTTGCAGTCCAGGGGATATCTTGACTGCTGACCCAAATACCATACCCGTTACCCCCAATAACGACATGACACCTGATTGTTGGGTAAGGGCAACTTCCACAGCTTTATTAAACTTTAACAGCGCCAGCATTTCCACCTGTCAGATGTTGGGGTGATTACCCAACAGACAGATACTCCAAGTCTTTATCCAGAGTTCGTACAGCCTGCCTTCAGCCATCAGCCCTAGCAGGCTGCGACTCCCCAAATCCTTTCCGTGCATTACGTGCGCTGGCTAGGAACTCCGCCACTGCGATGCCGGCCCTCCCTCTCCCTTTCCTGCATCGCCCCCCCCCAGACAGCGCCTTTTCTATACGCGATTGCAGACCGCTCCTTCTGTTCTGGTGAGTACCCTCCCTTCTGCATTCCTTCTTATTCTTATTCTTGCAACTATGTATCTCTAATACTCCCGCCCCCCCTTACTGCAGGACAGCAGTCTCTGTTCTCTATGAGCTTCACTCTCCAGAGGAAAGCTCAGGTAAACACGTTACCAAAAAGGGTTAATTATATGTGTTTGATCAGTAAAAGTAGAACTGTGATTCTATAATTCTCCTGGTGGTAACCTAAGATGCCCGGGTTTAAAGTTTTGGTGGTGGCAGTAAAGTGTGTACTAGGGGGTTAGTGTAGAAGGAATTGTGGGGGTTAATTGAGTAGTTGCTGGGACTAGCAACTGGTAACCAGGGGTTTGGTGTCATTAACCCTGTCACTTCCCCACTCTCCCCACTGTCTCGGCTAGGCCTATAGCCCACGCTTGTGACAAACTGGCGGCAGCTGGTGGGACATATTTAGAGATTTTTAGTGCTTGCTAGATTTTACCTGTAAAGGGGGTCTTAGCATTGAAAGAAATTGCATACTTGTTTTTGTGTAATTTCCAAAGACCAAGCTCAGTGCTGATTTAAAATACATACAAAGTGCAAAACAATTCTTCCCTCCCCATCTCTTGTTTTTCTTTCTCTGTCCTATTTGTGAATATGGAGGCCTATCGCAAACAATCCAAAGAGGCCTTGCAATTGTTGTGCCAAGAAAGTGATTTACCAACTTTTGGCAAAAATAAGGCACAACTTATTGCTGACCTTGTGGAAGCTGACAGCCATGTTTTCTAGCCATAGACGGACACTGAAAGGGTTACTGAGCTCCCTACTACTGCAGGAGTGTTGCTTCTTGGAATGCCTGATGGTTGTACCCCGCAAACCATTAAGGACATTTGCTCAACTGATTTATTTCGGCAACTGATGGCTGAAAATCCTCAGGAGGTCCTGCACGTGATGATCCAACAGCAGGCTGCAGAAAGAGAATCTGCAGAAAGGCTGGCAGAAAGAGAAAAAGAATCTGCGGAAAGGCTGGCAGAAAGAGAAAGAGAATCTGCAGAAAGGCAGGCGCAAAGGAGACATGAGCTGGAACTTGCTAAACTGCAATTTACCCTTCAGTCCTCACTGAACAGCAATGCATCAGAGTCCAGCACACGTAGGCTCCGTAAGGATGATTTTCCTTCCCTTCAAGAAGGGACGGATTTGGATGTATTTTTAACAGATTTTGAGAAAGTATGCAGGCAGCATCAACTACCCTCAGACCAGTGGGGCATATATTTAACTCCACAATTGAAAGGGAAAGCCTTGGATGTGTTTGTGTCCTTTCCCCCAGAGACTGATAACGACTACGAGTCAATCAAATCGGCATTGCAAAAAACTTTTAACCTTACTCCTGAGTCTTACAGGAAGAAATTTAGGAGTATGCAGCAATGCCCATCATCCAGCTGCACAATTAGAAACCACGTTCCGGCAATGGGTAACAGGAGTACAAGCTACTACCTATGAAGCCCTTAATGGTCCTGGAGCAGTTCTTGCAGACCCGGAGCCCTAATGTATGAGCATAGGCGTGCCTGGGCACACCCTAATCCCCGCTGCACGCCTATGGATTGAGTCCTGTTCCTGCACTTTTTTTTGAACAGGAACGCTGTTCCTGCAGACACTCAGCACCCCCAAATGCCCCCTTCCTCCCACCCGTGTTCTTCCTGTCGGTCGGGTGCCTGTCTCAAGATTAGACGCGGCGAGGGAGCTGTGCCCACTACGCTCCCTCGTGCCGTGTGCCATTTGCTGATGCCGGGAGCCGGAATATGACGTCATATTCCAGCTCCCAGTTACTGTAGACAGCTTGCGCGTCGAGAGGGAGCAGAGAGCACACAGCTCCCTCGCCGCGTCTGATATGGAGACAGGCACCCGACCTACTGGATGCCAGGGACAGGTCCACGCCAGCTCTCCAGGTGGGGAGGCTGGGTGGACATTTTTTTATTAAAAAATAATAATTTGTGTGTGTGTGAATGTATGAGTGTGTGTCTGTAAGTGTGTCTGTCTGTAATTGTATGTGTGTCTGTACATACATACAGCACACACACACACACAGCACCCTCACACACACACACAGTACACTAACAGCACCCTCACAAACACACACACACAAACAGCACCCACAAACAGCAGGTTTGGTTTTTGGTTGCAGAAGAAGTCCTAAAAAACTAGCCCGGCGGTCCTGTTGGGGGCTAGCAGAGAGTGGCCATCACAGTCACCTTATTTAACCCCTTAAGGACCAAACTTCTGGAATAAAAGGGAATCATGACATGTAACACATGTCATGTGTCCTTAAGGGGTTAAGGCCATTTCTGTTTTAGGTTTTGTTTGCAGCTGTGCTCATTACATTTGGTGGATTATTGTTGAGGAAACAATTGAATTCAGTAAAAGCAGCGGATATATTGTAATTAGTGTTGTGACTTTGCGTCCTTGTGTTTTGTACTAAAATAGAAACCGCTGGAAGTTAATTTGAAACCATATAGGATAAGATTAAGGTTTATTGCGAAAGGGCAAATGGCCTGTCTGCTGGAACACAAATACAAAATCTGTGTTAAAGTAATTATGGTTGGCTGAGGCCAAGACATCAAAGGAAGTTAGTCTTAGAGGAAATAAAATTCCAAAATAAAATAGCGTGTTAGTAATATCCAGGCAGAAGTGAGTGGAAATCTGGAAAAATGATACAACTAACAGGACCTACAGAATAATAGCCCATCCAGCAGAGAACAAGGGGTAGTACTATTTCACTCCAAAAGTCTCCTCTTAAATGGAATTAAATTAGCTCAATTTGACGCCTTGCAGAGCTGAGTTTTTTCGATGGCATTGTTCATAACATTACTTAATGTTTGAGGCACTAGCGCTCAAATCTCTGCCCAGTAACATCACGCGAGGCCACCCAACATCAGACGGTGAATTTGGTAGCGTGCACTGGCGCTGATGAATTATCAGTGGATTTTTTTATACCCTATAAACAACAGTTTTACTTTGACTTAAATGAAAACGAGCTTAATTAGATATGAGTTAATGAATAAATTCATTTTTTTTCTTTGGCTAATTCATTGTTCCTTCGTGAAATTATCCATGATGAATCTCTCAAGGCTCAGTTATAATATGTACCTGCAAAAAAAACAATGGAATCACTAACAAATAAGATAATAATACAGGAATCAAAAAGGGGAAGACGTATGACAACCAACCTAAAATGGGGGGAGTGTAAGGTGAATCTATATAAATACCTACTCTAATTGGGAACAAGATTATTTTGCTGGAAAAGTGGGGGAACAAATAGAGACTAATAGTGTAAAACCATATAGTCAAAATACACAAAATACAGTAGTAGTGTTAAAGGTAAAAAACCCAAACCTATACTAACTGTAAGAGTGGAGCGCTAATTTAAACAAGGGGTTACACTTACCCCAAATGTAGTCAAAAACTCAATAGATGTATATACATGTAAAAAAAAGAGAGAAATGGCCATATAGTGTAAGTCCATACAACAAAGTGCTATAGTATACAAGTGAGAGTGTGCCAACTCACATGTATGAGAGCCTCAAGGGGACAGGCTCAAATCACAACATCGTATGAGTCGTATGGTGACACTGCACCACTTCACTTCACCATGATATATCCTCAGAACATATAGATAAATGGAAAGCAAAAAAGAGCTAATGGTATAGTATGACTATGCATCCAGGTAATGAAATGAATAAATGCAAATTTAAGCTCACCTATTTCAGAGCCACTGAAACCTGGCTCTGAGTATAATCACTTGGGTGTCTGTAAAGGGGACACCACCCTTCTTTGAGAAGCAGGTAGTTGATTGAGTCAGAATAGGACTAAAAAAAATAATTTATTACACAAATAAAAGTATATTTACCGTATATACTCGAGTATAAGTCGACCCGAATATAAGTCGAGACCCCTAATTTTACCCCCAAAAACTGGGAAAACTTATTGACTCGAGTATAAGACTAGGGTGGGAAATGCAGCAGCTACTGGTAAATTTATAAATAAAATTAGATCCCCCAAAATTATATGAATTGAATATTTATTTACAGTGTGTGTATATAATGAATGCAGTGTGTGTGTATGAATGCAGTGTGTGTGTGTGTGTATATGTGATGCAGAGCCTTGGTGGGGGGTGGGTATTTTTATAATTTTTTAAAATTATTATTATTTTTTTAATATTATTAATATTTTTATTTTATTATTATTTAATTTTTTATTTATTTATTTTCGCCCCCCCCTCCCTGCTTGTTAGCTGGCCAGGTAGGGAGGCTCTCATTCCCTGGTGGTCCAGTGGATGGGCTGTGTAGGAGTGGGGCTGGCAGCTCCTGTCAGCTCCCTTCTCCTGCGTTCCTGTCAGCTCCCCACTGTAAGTCTCGCAGTCTGAGTGCCGCGCGGAGCGTTGCCACGGTAATCCGTGGCAAAGCTCTGACCCCGCGGCTCTCACAAGATTTACAGTGGGAGCTGACAGGGGAGCTGACCGGAACACAGGAGCTGCAGGAAAGGTAAGGAACAGCTCTCTGCTAGCCCCCAACAGGACCGCCGGGCTAGTAATGAGCCCAGCGGTCCTGGTCTGTATTATGGCAATGTAAGTTGCCATAATACAGACATTGACTCGAGTATAAGTCAAGTGGGGGGTGTTCAGCACAAAAAATGTGCTGAAAAACTCGACTTATACTCGAGTATATACAGTAAATTCAAAATTAATTAAATAAATCATACAATAAAAATACTTAAAGAATTGTCCATAACAAGGCACTTCAGTCCGAGACTAGTTTCACCCAGATCACTGGGCTTTTTCAATCGGTGTATACTTCCTGCTTCTCCCAGCTGGTTTTAAATGCCCCTTGTTTTCTCCTCATTGGTCTGTTCACTTTCTTGTCCTCCAATCTCCAGCCCCTTAAGTCAAGGGAGGTTAATGAGTCCGTCTGTTTGCACTTATTAGTTCATTATCGGTGCGGCAGTGACGCAATTTTAGCTATATGTAGTATTTGATGGTTTTTATGTCTACTTATAATAGCAGAGACATTATCAATTTTTTTTAATTTTGTATAATTGATGTATAGCATGCATACTATTTTTTTTTTATATATTTCTCTCCTTTCTCTTCTCCTATTTTCTCTCTTACACTCTTGAGTGATTTGTGGTAGTCTAGAATAGGTTTTTAGTTTTTTAGAATTAGTTTTTCCCATTTTGGGAAATGGAGTTAACACCAAGATAAGTTTGCCAAATTTCGGAATAGGTGTGAACTGAGGGTTCCAATACCGAAAATGAAGACTAATAGATGGGAGGTTTTCGGTTTTACAGAAATGTTAAGCAATACAGGTAGTAGTTCGTCAATGCTCCTCCGAGACGCATCTCACCCTCTCCTAAGGCTTTATCATTTGGCACAAAAGTTGTTTTTGTTTGTTTTTTTAAATCGAAAGGTATATCAATACCTAAAGCCCTAGGAGAGGGTAAAACGTGTCTTGGAGGAGGAACATTGACGGACTACTACTTGTATATTGCACTTAGCTTCTTGTTTATTGCTTTCTATATTATTATTATTATTATTTTATTATTTATATAGCGCCAACAAATTCTGTAGCGCTGTGCAATGGGATAATATAGTCTGCCAAAGTGATTAATCGTGTGTTAGTGATATAGTACAATTGTAATTCCATGTAGCTGTTATGTCAACAACTGTGTATGCGATTGTGATATGCATGTAGGAAATGGTCACACAGCTCATGGTAGCTGTGGTCACGGTAGCAATTTTCCACCTACAATCCTGCATGTTAAAAACATGTTTCTTAGCACGCATGCTCGTTTGACAAAAAAAACACCTGTGTCACTTGTCATATCCCATATCTACGTATTGTCTGTTCAAGCTCAAAAAGACCTTTGAGTGGAAACGTTGCTGCTGTACACTGTAGTTCAATAAAAATGCCTATCTAATCCTTGGAGTGCCTGGACCTTTTTCTTTCTTTGATGACTACAAACTACTTCTTGGGCCTTGGTGCTGGCGCAAGGTTTGGTTGCACTCAGGCTTTTATTTATGGATTAAGTGCAGTACCGTTTTTTGTTTTCTGCCAAGTGATTATTGACTTGTGAACATATTCAATCTTCATTAATTATAATTAGAGTACCTCAGAGAAGTCAGACATGCAACCCCCACAGACAAATTCAGGCTACCAGAACGGCAACAAACAATTCTAATACTGGTTAATGATAGTTAAGCAGGGTCAACCATAAACATTTATTCCCTGTGCAGTACACCTTCACATCTTCACTTCACCTCTTCCTGCCCACAACCCCCTCTTCCAATACCGCCACCATTTAAAACCTGTTGTTCTTATCAACCCCAAAACAAAGGGATTAGAAATTTTGATGACAATAACATTTTATTCATATGAACTAAACTTCTTCAAGTGCAATAGGAGTATAAATATTAAGTAACACAACAGTAAACAAACTAAAGTGGTAAACAATAACTGACAAACTAAAATGCTAAAAAAAAATTAAGGCGCAGATATAAGGTCCTGAAAAATAAATGCAGTCCCTTTTTATTTGAAGCATGTGAACCTAGAAAAGTAAAAAAAAATAAAAAGCCAAAGCACAAAAGCTAGACTGCATATATCATCCTCAGTCACCCTCCATGTTTCCAGAGGATCATCCATCACCATCAGTGATTTATGTGCTATGCAACATATTTTTTAAAAATGATGTGGATAGTTACGTTTGTCTATTGAAGAATATTCTATTTACTATATTTTGTGAAATTGTGGTCTGGGTGTAGTCTTTTGCAGTCTATGCTGCAGCACAGCCAGGACCGAGACAAAGGTACAGTAGATTACACAGGCTGGGTTATTACGACTGTAAAGTACATACCTCGCCTATTCCTCTGGCATTAGCTGCCTGCTACGTGGCATGCCAGCAGTGTTTAGTTGCCCTTCTCTTCTGCCTCTTGGCTTGTCCACTCAACTTTCCCTTTACCCTGACAGTCTGCTACTAAGTGAAGGGGGAATTGGAGAAACACACTCAATCATAATATCGCCTAACGCTAGCTTGTTTATGTTTATATTATAAAATGGTGCATATTAACGCTTGACCTCAACGACTTACAAAAAACAAAAATGTGCAAGATTAGCAGATATCACATGTATGTACGTAGCGGGGAATGTGGTGCGACTAAGAGTAAGGAGACTACCCCAATTCTCCCCCCAATAATGACAAACAACGAATATTGGATGAAACAGGCCACAGCATTTATTAAACTTACAACTGTAGGACTCATCTAACTTTATCTTTTTTTCTTTAATTCAAATATAAATAAACACATAAATATATATATATATACATACCATAATTAACATATAAATTACACTTATTGCCCTACAGCCTCCAACTTAAATGACCGTCCTTGCCAACGAACTTAACCAGGTGCCTAAGCACCAAAACTTTACCCACTGGTGTCTCGCCTCCCCCCTCGTCCAAACCAAAAATTCCCATCATCTTAAATGCTCTACCACCAGCCGGCTTTTTGCTCGGTGGGTAGGTCCTATTCGGTAACTTAAAAGTTTACCTTACAGTGCAGGGGAGGTTGAGACCCACCATGTCCATCTCCTGACATTCCATCTGCTCCCCAACCCTGTTGGCAAGGACACACACCCTGCCACAAACCCCACTGTTTTAAACCTAAAATCAGCGGGGAGCCCCACCAAAACCAGCCAGGCCTGTTCCACCACTTCCTGCATGGCAAGACGACAAAAAAACGGTCTGGCTCGATCTTCATCACCCAGAAATACAGTAGCTGCCACATGCGTGAAAACACCCTGTGGCAAACCAAAATCCCCTTACCCTCAAACACCTCGAAAGGCCCTCCAATTTTGCTTCATACGGCAGCGTACC